CTGAACAAATTCATCTAAAAGTCGGAATGGATAACAACTTAACCTAACATGTTGGACAATGACGTCAACTTATGCTTTGCCCGTACAGGCGAGTTTTCATTGCATCCAGAATTGGACTGTTTTTATTCCAATACGGCCATCTAAAATTTAAACGTAGAAGTTGGATGTGTCAATCTACGGCTTACATCAGCGAAATTACTTTCTAGGAGCAGTAAGTTATGCACGAGAAAGCACACGATGTATTTTAGAGCTCAAAGACTGATGAAAAATTTTAATTTTGTGCAGTGGTTCACAGAAGAATTCTTGGAGCATCTAAGAATTACAGATCGATGAACATAATTCCTATAAAGGTCTGTTTGCTCAGAACAATCTTACGCTGCTTATCTTTCTTTCCTTTCTTTCCCAAATCACTAGACCATCGGAATCTGAACAGATATTGGTCTAAAGAATTTTAGAACGGAGATTAAATTTAAAGCTTGGTAGTCTTTTTTTAGTAGAGACCGCCTAATGTACTATTGGAAAGAAATGCCGTGCATACAATGGCCATCAAACCCAGTCTTCCCCGCGCCTCACCATTCCAGAGAGGATTGATAAGTTCCAGATTTTACAAAGGTCATAGAAGTGCTCTAGAACGGCTACTCTAGGACTGCAACGGAAATCATATTCAAGCAATATTACTATAGCGATATTCGTGAAGAGAGCGAAATTTTCAGGTTACAACTAAATCGGCACGCAAATCTGAACATGTTCGTGACGAACTAGATGGAAGAAGTTCTGGAGTGCACTGTCAATATGTGAAGACGTGTCGTATAAAGAGTATGGCAGTTTAAAAAAAAGTCAAGCATATCAATTATACTAAGGGCTGGCACAGTTGGGCACCTGGCTCTGCTGTAGATGGTGTGTGTACTCAAGCGGCTTGTTTTGTTAATCTGAAAAAAAACATAGGTTTCGCCCGTTAGAGGAGCCTTGATATAGTTTCCACGTATTTTACGACTATTGCAAGTATTTGAAGAAGTTGACATGGAACTTGCGATCCATATGAAAAATAAGAAAAAATTCGTTGAGTTGATCATCCACTTAGGAATGCGCCATGTTTTTGACTCCATTCTCGGGTTCATAAATTCCTTTGTATGAACAGTGTTTTGAAGGAATCGATCAATGTGTGAATCTTCTTAGACAAGTATAGTGCCAATTTTTTAAGCCCAAGCGATAGGAGTTTGATTAACGCGAGCGTGAAATCGAACCAATAACCATGCGTGCGTCGCTGTGCACTTCTAACCACTGCATTGACCGAGACAGCGCAATATTGGGTGGGCATGAAACGTATAGTTCAATTTCGTATTGCAGAGTTAGGAGCTGCTGTATTCTGAGGCTACTTTTGTCTTAAGACAGGTACAAATCGCTTCTTATCAGCATTTGATCCCTCAGGGCTGGCAAACTGTGCAGCCACTTGACTTAGGTCGAATCCGGCTCGGAATTGCTGACATCAGAGAGATACCTATAGAAAACAATAACGAAACCAAATAAGGACACACGACACGCTGAACATGAGGTGAATGAAAGGAATTTGAAACATTAGAACACAATCTTAACCTTTTTTATTTACTGCCTATTCTTTTTAACGGCAGGCTATGTTGCAGAATATAACTTCTATAATGTTGGGATATTTGCAAGACTCCGGGCCAATCCCGTTGACAAGCGATTGCTGATGGCAAAAGATCGATAGAATTAGCTGAGAGATAGGCGGAACGGAGGGACCACATGGTGTTGTGGTGAACGCGTTACTTCCCTGAAAGGACAATAGCGCGTTCGTTCCCCACCGCAGACACCAGCGGTCCGGAGTTTTGCAAATATTTCAGCATCATAGAAGTTTCATTGGAACACTGTTCGCAATTACAAGGCGATAAAATCGCAAACTCATAACATTAGAAACTAAATACTGCAGGTTTGTTGTCGTGCTGGCGAATTATGGTCAATTACAGACGATAAGTTGGAGCTACTCTATATATTTTTTGCCTTTTCCGTCAATTAAGGAAAAATCTGGTGGAATGGTTATGGTAGACAAGGTTGTTTGATTAAATATACTTGTGGGCTACAGTTTCGTAACTTAGGACTTTTAATGGCGGTGATATTTGTTAGGCTAATTTTTCCAATTCCGATATTTTTCACTAGTCAGAAAGTTTCCCCTTTGCAATAGAGTTAGGTTTCTCATTACTACCCCTTGTATCATGTTTGACAGGTTCTGATAGAGATCTCGAAGACCAAGTTATGCTAACTTCTCAGGAAAAAAAACAGCTCATACTCATACTCATACTGTTAAGTAGAGCTTTTCATCAACACTGGTGGCTTGCAACGGTTTTTTGTAATTGGATTTATTCATCGAGTCAACGGAGTATTTCTGTTCACATGTCGCCTCCTTGATGAGCCGAATTCTGTAAGAGGTACGGCACCCAACTAGATGGATTTTATTCCGCATCCTAAAATTCTCGACACACACACACACACACACACACACACACACACACACACACACACACACACACACACACATTGGATCGAACTGCGCGCATGTAGCTCACCAAGCCTTCCATCTCTACGGGGTCGGCAAATTGGTATCAGACTTGTGTGTGAGGATAGCAGCACTGGCTCGATACATCGGGGGTCTACCGCAATTCGTTGTAAAAGCCAGGTATGCATTCAGTCGCCTCCGACGATGCTTAGTGAAGTCGAATGCATGTCGCATCTCTCAGGGATTGATCAGTGCAGCAAGCTTTATTCTTTATCCTTTATTATCCTAAAATTCTTAAGACGCTATGGTTCTCCTAGCAAACTATAGCATTTTCGCATTGTTTTTCATATTGACTGATGAAATTGGCTACAGTGACTTGCTGGATGTGATTAGAGAAAGTGTGAAGAAGTCGGACCATCGATTGCTTCTCATAGTGGCTCTAGTGTATAGTAGGAGAATTTTCAAGAAATGAAGAGATCTCTGGAATCCAGCACTTTAAAGCAGTCGGGTTCTCATTCTGTTACATCTGAAAACAACCTTAAGCAAAAACTACATTTATGAAAAATGATTTTAAAGTTAAGAGTGAAGGTTTCCATTTTTCACACAACTAATTCTAAATCAGCAAAAGTCTCGCAGTAAGTCTGAAAGGACGTTTTTGTGACTAGATAATAACCTTTCACATTGTGACCTTGTTTGGACGTCTTAATTTATCGGAATGCTAAGAGAAAAAACTTCCTAATAATGAGAATAAAAACGATTCACAAGCTCCTTTTCTTTTTTCGAAACTAAATTAGACGGGAGAAGGGCCAAATACAGACTGATGCACATTGGCACGTTCCTCATTCTAGTTTAAAATCTTCAGCGTATTATCACGTTTTAAAGAACGCATCTACACACTTAAGTGCACTTTGATGTCTTTGACAATTTTACATCGATAAAAAATCAATGACCGTGGTAGTTTTTCGACAATAGTCAGTAATTTCATGAAATTAGAGCAGCTGAGAAGTTCAGAAGAAAAACTTTAACACCATAAGGCATGGTATAAAAAAAAGGACAAAGATATCAGCGTTGATCAAACTCTGAGAGATGCGTCATGGATCCCACTTCGTTAAGCATCGTTTGGGGGTGATTGAATGCTTGTTCGGCCTATACAATGACTGGCGGTGGCCTACCGATGTGTCGAGCCACCGCTAGTATCCTCGCAAAGAAGTTTGGTTCCAACTTGCTGACCTCGATAGGGTGGAAGACATGGTGGGCCATAGGTGTGGGGATCGATTCCATTTGTGTTGCAGTGGACCTCCGTCCACTGCGTCACACGAGCCCTAGTAATCGTATAACATGTTATTTTAATAGAGAATCCGTTGAAACTTGTACTTTCGAAACAGTGGGAGCGTAATTTGTGTTTTCGAAATTTTTAACACAACCCCACTTAGGAGTGCATCATTCGTGCGTTCGTGAACGGAATCGTGTTCTTTCGCAAGAGATCTCACCCGTTCAATCTCTCTTCTCCTTGAAATATGTGCCCTGACGAAAAAAAAAGGCGAAAATAATGGTGATTGATTCACTCTGCAAAGAAAAACACTATAGATTTACACTATAGTAAAGTATAGACACTTGCATCTTGTGGGCGAAAATCTGTAAGTTTTGGTGATTTTTTCCCTTGTGGTAATGTTCACTGTGAGCTGAGATAGGTTTATTCTAAGTTGAGACGCGTTCTAGTGAAATTGCGCATTGAAATCAATTCACGTCGTTAAAAATATGTTCACTTGGAGTTATGTGAAGTAGCTTAATAATGAAAAATATACCATTCAATTGCACTTTTGCCAACATCAGAGCGACCCCCAAAAGCTGTCTACGTGCTCCTTTCTACATGAATATTTTCCGAGCTAATACGGACGTTCAACATGGCTAGACATACGAATTCCACAAGCTTACCACCCTCTTGAATCGTTGACCTTTTGCATCGTCGGTTAATAGCCCTTTGGTTTCCAGCAATTGTCTGACGGCTGACTGATTGGCATCAGTAGCAGCCGAACCGAAGTTAAGCGCACTTGAGAGATTTCTACGTACGACCTTGTTCCGTCCTTTGGATTATTTCTGCAATCCTGCCCATTGATGTATCATTTATTTTTCCCAAACTTTGCTCTCAACTTGTACTTTGATAGTCGCTGTCACCGTCTGAACCCACCCGTTCGCAATCACTATAAAGGTCACCTGTTCAAAGGCTTAGCTGCCTGGTACTGAACTCTGCAGTGGTTGTTCATCGTTTACATCTGATGACACCAACGATCGTACATCTGACCTTAGCGGCTTTTTTGGTAAATACTTACATTTAGTTACTCCCTTTAAACTTCATCTTCGCTATTCCCTTCCTTCTAACAGTACGAAAGAGACTTATTCTCGGGTTGCCACACCATCACTGATATCTAGTGATTTTTTGCATAGGTTTTCCTTCTAGTCCATCTTTCCTATAATTCCCTTTCTAAACTTTATGCAATTCCGTTGTGAATTTTTTTCACTTCAGTTGCTTGTCACTGAGTCGACTAATATCAGTTCGAGGGAGGTTTTTCAAAAATACCATCGAACTAAGCGTCTCGCTATTCATCCATCACAATGGCGAACCAAGTAGGTTACTTTTTCGCTGGCTGTCATAGTTCTCTTGAAATTGAGGTCACAATCATCAACAGGATCTGAATCAGTGATAAATATATTCTAGCCTTTGGCCAGGAGGCGTAGTGCCATACGAAATTGCTCCTCACTACAATAACTGGGAAAGATCTGTCATCCTATCTGCAATGGTCGAATTTCCCAGGCACTCATGCATTTACTTCCGACCGCGAACTCAAGCGGATCGCTACTACGTATCCATAAATAAGCACTACAACCTCGAGAGGTGAATGGACTAGATTTTGATGATTATATAAGTGGTTTTTAGGGTAGAATAGCTACAAAAGGACCCTATTACTTTACTTAGATCACAATATCGATAAACTCAGAATAGGCATTTCAGATGCTTCTCGTATATTGGACGGCAAACGTCGCTAATATTCAGAACTCCTGAAGGCAATATAGAGACACGAATGCGTCTTCATCCAAGTTGCCTTGCGGTAAATGGTCGTGGGACAGTTATGCATGAATTGATGCACATCATTGGATTCTATCACGAACATCAAAGGTTTGGCTCTCAATGAGTTTTCCATTCTTTTGCTTTAATAACATCAACGAGTCTCTTCCTAACTTTCTAATTGACAAAAAGCTCTTACTTTCAGGGATGACCGTGATCCACGAATTCAAGGAAATTCAATGCATTACAATTTTAAGATTTACCCGAGATCGGTGGCATACTATATGGGACCGTATGACCCCACATCATTGATGCATTACAATTTTCCTGGAATCGTCTATCCACGCTCATATTTCAGCGCCAGTGACATAAATCGAATTAATACGCTCTATCGATGTCCGGTGGTAAGTTTTTCACTGACTTTTCCTTTACTACAGTAATTCACTTTAATGATATACTGACACGCGACGACCGTACAGATCAACCATAACGATGCTGAGACATTCGCAAAACTCCGGACCGCAGCTGTCTGCGGTGCGGAACGAACGCGCTACTACTCTTTCCGGGGTGTAACGCGTTCACCACCACACCATGCGGATCCTTCGTTTCGCCTTTCTCTCAGCTAGTTCTATCGATCAACGTACAAAGCATTGCTTGTTCTCAGCACTTTCTCTTCGGTTGCTCTATTACCTTAACCGTAACCTATTCGCTATTTTTGCTATTTTTTGCCATTGCTATTTTCGCCAAGCTTTATACGACATTTATTTCCCCGTTTTTGAGCTACCAGTAACTTCCACATTGATACATGATGTCTTCTTGGAAATGAAAAACGTAATCTGAAGGATTTTTCTTCAGAGAGAGAAATTCACAACGAATGGAGTTACATTGCCTACGTTCTCAACTACAGCTGCCAGAGAAATTCAATCAGAAAATTCCACATCACCGCCGTTCACGTCACGGAACTCATCAACGTCAGATATTAGCCAGATTAACAGAAACGGAATATTTAGAGCGAGACGGTTTTAGACGTCTATCATTAGCGATAGCGAGGTTCGATTTTTCTTAAGCTGTGGAGCTACGATGGGAACTCTACTAGGCTGTTGATCTGTTTTTATTATTTAATTGTGCTATTCACATCAGCTGTTCTCTGATCTCAGGATTTTCTTCTTTTTTACCTCGATTCATGGCGACACCAGCATAAAAATTTGTATATTTTGTTGAAGAGTTCAAAAAAGAACATGTGATGTCAAACCATGTGATTTTTCTTTTTCTTTTGAAAACGTTACTTACAATAGAAAAACTCCAAAATATCGATTTCTCCCATGCTATGCAAAAGAAGCACCCAATTTTCCGGCTTTACCAAACTTTAATAGGTTAAAGAGTACAATGGATAAGAAGGATAAACTCTCGGCGTTGATCCCTGCCTTAGGGATGTGCCATGCGCTCGACTTCATATTGTTAAGCGTCGTTTGGAGGTGATTGAATGCACATCTGGCTTTTAAAATGACTCGCGTTAGCCTACCGATGTATCGAGCCAGTGTTGCTATCCTCCCAGACAAGTCTGCTACCAATTTGACGACCCCGGAGGGATAAAAGGTTTGATGAGGCACTGGCGCGGGTATCGATCTCAAGTGTGTGTTGCAGGGCGACCCCGACCACTGCGCCACACGCGCGGTTCAAGAGTAGTAAAAAACAATTATAAATTGCAAACTGGCTAGTTATTGAGCAAATTTTGTGACAAAATCCTAGAAAAGTGATGAATAGGAAAAGGGAAACTATGGAGAATTCGCTGGTGCATTCGAACTTAGGAACGAACGATCACTCAAGATGTTCTGTTGTTGATGCGATGTGGTAGAGGGCGACAATTGCGACAAGATAGCGATCAATCATGACTACACCAATTTCCCTCGGTGAAAGTCCCATGATGAACTATGACAAAAGCAGAAACAAATAAACGTCCTGATGTGAATAAACATCTCTCAAAAAGTTTTTCATTGACACACTCGATACATTCCAGTAACAGTAGACACAGATGCGAAGTAAATTTGGATCTAGAAAAGCGGAAACGCACGAGTTCTTAACGTGAACTTTAAAACTGAGCAGCACGGAATGAACTGCTAGCTCTACCCTACTCGGCTTCTCGTTGTCAACATCATCTTCGATCTTTCTTCGTCGCCACCGTATTTCTAAACGAAATTCAATAGTTTTTGCTGGTTCCACTACACACGTGCGTCAGATCGCGGCAACTACACCCGAATCGATCGATTCACAGTATCAGTCGATATGCACGTAATGCATGGTATCGCTTCGCACGCAACACGTCGCACAGAGTAATGGTGGGGTTGTCTTCTACACAAAATTTGGTAGGAATCTGTTGAAGCTCGCTTACTTTGTTTACTTCTTCTAAGAGTTTGCGAAGTGAGCAAGCGTCAGGACGTTTTTCTGGGTCATGATTCCAAGCTTGTTCCATGATTGTGACTATTTCTTCTGGCATAGCTCGTGGTGGTGGCATACGATAGCCAGCCATCACTTTCTGCTAAAATTTCTGGCACTTTGTGTGAGGTTCAATTTATCTACATAAAATTGCATTGGTTCTAGAAATTCATTGGATGTTTCTGTATTCCATAATTATTGTAATTTGCTTAAATATAATGAACAAATTACTTTGACAAAAACACTGTGTCACCTTAAAGTCGGTTTTTGTAACTGTGTAACTAGGACATTTGCTATGAAAAAGACCAATCACCAATTTCTTCCTGAATAACGTATTTCGGACCGATCATACCTTTACGGTATAAGCTTTCCACTCGGCATACGGAGAGCTATAGGGTATTTCGAACATTTCCCACAACATCACACCGTATGCATAAATATCCGTATTATAGCGAGTTTCACCAATTCTCCACACCTAAATGGATACGAAACAATGAAGAAAAAAACTAGTTGTAGCATTTTCTTGACGACAGTGGGTGATTAATGTCGTCAAAAAACAAATGCTTCATTGTTTCCCGAGTCCTTTCGTTAATGCACTTTAAGAAACCATCAGCTACAAGTGTATATTGAATCGAATTCGTGACGAAAGGTGAAAGAACGCTATCGTAAAATTTGACTCTTTTGACTCGATTGGACTTAAAAAGCTTGACTGTATTCTACATTTCGCGGGAAATATTTCGCGCAAATAAGGGGGTTGGCAATAGGACAGCGATTGGCTCCAAGCCTGGCCATTGTGTTTATGTCTAAGATAGAAGCTCCTGTTCTCGATCTCCGGCCACTACTCTACTGCAGATATGTAGGTGATCGTTTTGTCGTCTTCTCTACGCAGGAGGAGATGGACAAATGCTTTGAATTATTGAACGAGCAGTCCGAGTACATAAAGTTCACCCAGGAGAAACCGAGAGAAAACTGGCTTCCGTTTTTGGACGTCCAAATAAACCTATCAAGTAGCGGTTACCTGACAAAGTGGTATCGATAGCCAAGTAACAAGAACATCCTTGTTCATTTCCTTTCTTCCCACCCTTCACACACAAAGAGGGCGATTGTGAGAAACATGCTTCGACAGCCACCTCTGTGTGCACTACCAGGGAAATAAAGGAAGAGTCGCGCGACTTCGCTCGGCAAATAGCCATCTCCAATGGCTACGAAATAGTAACCCCACGAGATAAGTTTACAAGGAGAACGACGAGCCCACGCGAAACACTTGGCCAAAACAAAATCCCGTTTATGTTGCCTTTTATAAGCGATGAAGTAAGCGCAGCTATAAAACGATGCTTAAGAAGGGCAGGTCTAGAGGAATCGGTAGCGATAGTTGAAATACCACCGACTACTCTACGTCGCCAATTAGTTCGCAACCGCCTGTATGACCGTCTGTGTGAAACAACAAATTGCTTAATTTGCCCTTACGACAGGGACGGTGATTGCATGAGTTCAGGTACGACATACCTGATCTCTTGTAACAATTGCGGAGATGAATATATTGGCGAAACGGGCAGACCTTTGTGTATCCGTATAAAAGAACACCTAGATGGCAAACGAAAACTAAGACGAAGCACCCCACTAGGCACGCATAGGATACAAAAGCATAGCGGAGACGATTTTGAAGTAAAAGTCAATATCATTGCACAGGAGTACAAAACACCAGCGCGAAAACTCCTTGAGGCTTTCTGGATCAATGACAGAAACCCTACAACGAATAGCAGGGATGAATGCTCATAGGTCATATGCGACCTGACCCCGTATATTCGCATCAATTTCGGATGTGGGATGGTGCAGTCATCAGCCATATGCGACTATAATCAGCTGTTCTAAACTTCCTCATTGGAAGTCACGAAAAAGCGGTGGGTTTATCGAGAAGTTGTTGATCGTGTAATTACCAAAGAGTCTTTCGTCTTTGTGTAAGTGTTATTGAAGCGTTTGGCCTAGTAGATTGCATATCAGTATACCCTTCCAGGCTCTGAAGAAGGCGATACTGCCGAAACGTCAGCTAGTGTTGTATTGTATTGTGTTTTTCTATGGAAGTAAATGTATGCTGTTTAAAAACCTCGCGATTGCTGAACAAGAAAACGACACATTCATATTCCAATGCCGAGGTTAAGAGAAAGTCGATCCTGGGAACTGTATTCTACAGTATCAGAATGCTATGTTTTCGACTAGTCGAGACTTAGGAACTCATTTAAGCTCTCGAATTTTCGGTATTTAAGAGATTAAATCGCGTTTACTTTTCTTCGCCCTTAAAAAAAATCACCTTTACTCTTTGAGATTTCTGCGAACTTAATCAGCTTTACAACTAAGGTCCGTTGTCAGAAGGAAAACATCATACTGTAATTAGCCCTTTAAAAGATTGCCGACACAGTCCCGGTCAGCGCGTTATTCGATCTGAACACTGTCCTCCTTGGTGCTGCCCCAATCTTTTCAAGCTCATGAAAGACGATAGCTTTCGCTCGCTCTATAAGCCTAATACCTAACACGACTACTACTATCTACAAACCGGTTTCGCCATCCAACAGTGACTGTCCGGTCCAACACTGATAAGCCATTTTTTGACGGCATTGAAATAAGCAGAGCAACGATCAAGGCGTCACCGTTGACTGATGGCAACTTCCTCAATTGTCTTGTCAAATCGATACCATTGCTTCCGCTGATGGATAGTTGCCAAAAAATCACGCTTTCGATCATATTAGGTATTGTAGAGCTGGTTGAATAATGCATATCTGGCCTATACAGAGGCCTATCGATAATTAATGTCATGTCTTTTATCTTCTCAGCCAAACATGGAAGGACGGAAAGCTTGCTTGGATACTCTCATGGTATTAAATCAGCGACCCTCTTTGCATTGAAGGCCACGTCTAATCGCTTCCGGGTCTGTAATAATTCAGATAATGGCAATGCTTGCGCAATGGTGATTTTTTTAAAATGGCGTTTGTGTAGAATTTATTGGTTATATTCAAAGCGTGTAAGCCGAACTAGAGTGAAGGACTTCGATAATGGCGAACATGAGAAAAACAGAAACCGTAGTGGATAACACTCTATCCCGGCGCCCATGGCCCACCAAGCCTTCCATCTCTTCGGGTTCGACAATTGCTACCAGACTTGTTTGTGACGACAGCAGCACTACCTGGATGCATCGTTAGGTCACCGCGAGTCATTATAAAGGCCAGATATGCATTCAGTCACCTCTAAAACGATGGTTAATGAAGTCGCATGCATGGCGCATCCCTCAGGGACTGATCAAGGCCGAGAGCTTTATCCTTCATCCTTTTATTGGAGAGTTCAGAAGATATACGGTATAGTGAAGTACAGTTGTTCACCTTTCATTCATGAATACCATATGAGCACAAACTTGCAGGAATCTTACAGTGGTTGCTGTTCCACTTGGTACTGTGTTCATGAAAGACACAAAACGGTTACAACAGTTTTTCTTAAAAAAAAGTACAGGCCGACAGATAACCTTACTGGATAGAAGTGCAGTTACACTTCATCTCCTAAGACGCTCCTTCAGATAGAAATACTGTCTCATTTTTTCTGCACTTTTGCGACGCTAAGGATGTCAATTTAAAATCGAGAAAGATATGCCGCCAAAAATACCAACGTGCTGCACATTCAGTTCAAAAAAGCTTTGCTCTGAAATCAAAGTCGTCTGCGTAACTTGAACTCTGTCCGGTTATCAAATTTAGTGTGTTGGTTCCAAAATGTTGCGTAATGTGATTGATTGAGACCTGTAAGTAAATTTACATCTATGAAAAATCATCTACGATTTCAATCTCCGAGCGACTGGTAGAAGTTCCTCAAGTTATGATAAGAGAATCGAACACCACAGAGATTATTATGGAAGAGGAGTCACTAAGATAGCAATGTGCGAAGAAAAATTAGGAGTAGTTCAGGCCCCAAACTGAAACCGCTGAAAATTGAGCGTCGTCCTTAGTGTTCTTAGGTTTTTTCGATCTTTTTCTTAAACTAAGAAATAGTTTCTTAAAGCCATTAAATCATTAAATCATTAATGTATTCTAAGCAGTGGACGACTTATGAGACATTAAATGGATGCTGTGATTTATAACATCTTGAAATTAGAACGAACGGAAAAAAATTGAGATTCGTTACTGTGAATTTCACTTTGGATCACTTTCACTCATAAGCAGATAGAAAAATGGCATGAACACCAGCACACTACGACATGGCGGCACATTACATTCAGCAGATCGTTATAAGTAATATAGTAGGATACTAATCGAATATGAGTTCTTCTCTCATCAATGTAGCGAGATTCACTACTTTTCTGTAGGATGACTTATACCAGCATAAACGTGCAGTAAACCAGAACCATTTCGCTGAGTTTCGGTGAAAGAAATGTTTGGTTACGCTTGAAATACGAACAAATAGGAAACTTTCTCAGTACAAATGCTTATGTGTTCTAGTCAAATTATGGAATTTGTCGGGAATCTTTAGTTCCTCCCTAAGCGGTTTGTGATTTTTAAACAATTCTGGACGCAGAACGGAATTCTGGAGTTCTTTCTCGAAGTGATGGATTCTCCGAAAGCACTTAAAGATCGCCGTTAAAACGTTTGTTGTCAGCGTTTTTTGAGCCGTAGAAACAACGATTTCTCAATCGCACTGTGACTTGCATTGAAAAGCGAATCCTCTGCGATAACTGGCAAAGTTGAACGTAATTTCGTAATTCTTGGATTACGATGAAGTGCCTGAACATTTTTCAAAACGGAATTTCCACCAGTGAAATTAGAGAGCTCTCTTGCTTTCCGTCGTACCATCACATATGCTCATATTTACGCTACAGAAAATAAACGAACTGGACTACAAAATTCTGCTTCACTAGCCATAGTCAAGCCACTACTTGATAACCATCTGCCCACTTTTGTCAAACATCTGAGTAGGTGCTGAATGCGAAAATCTTCAGCAGATAAGCCATTTCATAGACTACCTCCAAAGAATTTGTTAGTTCCAGAATGCTGGAATTTTGTGCTACTAAAATAAACAAGCATGTATTCAAATAGAATAAGAATACGGATTTTTACAGAACTTAGTCCATTTTTAAACAACAATTAGATGTAATAATGAAGCTCTATGTGATAGCTCGTAACATGAAACAAGGCATTCGGCCCTGACCAGGCATCTAGAGTCACTCCGTGCATTCGATTCCATTCATAGCACCTTATACAATAACTTGACGGAGCCTAACAGTGTATGAAAACAGCGTCTTTAAGCACAGAGTTAAGTCTGGTATCAGCTTGCCAACCCCGAAGGAATGACCAACTTGACTGTCTGTGGCGTGAGGTCGAACCATGTGGTGGGCAACACATATCTTAGCTTTACGTTTTAGAAGTTTAGCTATACGGAATACCCATCGTCTAAACTCTAGGTACTTTTGCACTAAAAAGGAAAATTACGGTGCACTTATCAGAACTCGTCAAGTTTCATTCATTGCTTTTGTATTGATATAATAGTAAAGGACATATTTTTAACCGGCTGGTATTTGATCAGTAGATAACTCGCTGTGCAGGACAACTGACTAAGGTCAGATTCATCCCGAATGATCGAAAATTACATCACTCTACGCCATTTCTAGTGAATCATTACTAAGGTTGATGTCATTTTTGAAAACAATAAAAAGTGCTACACCATTTTAATGACGAAGAAGTAGAAGGTGGGTGGCCGACAATTTCAAGTATGTTCCTTATCTGACCACTCTGAACACTTCTCAAACATCATTTTCATTCTACTAGAAAACAACACATTGTTATTTTATCCAAGCAAATCTCATAACTTGAGCGTCCGAGGCGTATAGGAAGAGATCTTCTTCATGGAACAATGTGATCGAAACGCCGGACCTCATTTCTTGAGAACTGCAGCGTTACCGAGTATCACAATAGCGCATAATTCTAATTGATTGATAGCATATGATGGTCCGAGTGTATAACGAAAAGTACTAAAAATAAACCCTTTTTTACTAACAGATTAGTTTAAATCATCAAAACAATTCATGGCGATAACGATTGCGTTGAGAAAGAGTAGATGAACGTTAGAATCACTAGAATCCGTTACTGTTCAAGTTATCGATGACACTCGTCTGAAATAAAGGGAAGAAAGTTTTCATGTACAGACAGCAACCCTGACCGAGCTGTAAGTGACAGAGCGTTTAGCAAGCAGCTTAGCTTATAGTTGATTCATTGCAGACACAGCGGTCTGAGGAACCGGTTCAGCAGACAGTGGACGAAAACCAGTTAAACTAGTAGCTGTAGGAAAATATGATTTCAGTGCAACAACGAACGACATGGGAAAATGAACACTTTTTTAAAGAGACAAGTCTTTTGTGACCAGTACTATAGTGTTATCAATGTTGCACTGGAATTCGCCAAACCCTCATCTGCGATCATGGTGTATGCCAAACACACACACACACACACACACACATACACACACACACACATACACACACACATACACACACACATACACACACACATACACACACACACATACACACACACACATACACACACACACACATACACACACACACACATACACACACACACACACACACGCACACATACACACACAGCAGAAAGCTTTAGCACAACTTTTCGTGCAAAGGGGAAATCACTATGTACTGTAGAAAACGTTGGGCTGAAGAACATCATCGGAAGCACCAGTGTCGTCTAAACATTCTCAAACTTGCGCTCTCACGGAGTCCGATTCAGAAAAAATTAACTGAACTGGAATTCTTACCGTCCAATCAGGAGGCAAATTTATGGAAGGCCTTCAGAAAAGAACAACTCTATGCAGCAGAAAATGGTGTATTTTTATGCTGCTGTTTCGAAAGCGGCAGATGTATGGAAGAAAGGAAGGTGAATATGTGATTATAGCACAGTATGAAGTGAAGGAAAGGAATTTTGGGCTTAAAAAGGTGTAGTTAACCTCAGATGAAAGAGCAGGTCTATTATCTGCAGAATGCTGATTTGTCAAGAGGTTTTTCCAAAAACAATGGGAACAAAATCAATTGAACTCAATGTTACAGGTAGCAGTTGTTCGACAGTCGCTAGCTTAACATTAAAAAACTAGATTTTGCCGTTAAAATACGGCATAATGCCAGGCTATAAACTAAACGATAAGTCACATCATAAACGTCAGGCCGAAACGAATTGGAAACAATTTCTTGTACTCGTCTCATACGGGGACTAAGAAACTTTAAGACAAAGTAAGCCCCCAACAATTTTCTCATTAAGGCATCGATTCTGAGCTGGACATCAGACAGTTCTCTACTTGTGTTGGATAAGCTGAGAAACATAATTTGTGCAATCTACATTAACAATCATATTAAATCCAAAAAAAAGAATTAAAAGCTTCGCACCAATGTAGACATGTAAAAAGCTAAGGATCTCTATAGAAACACTTTTGACTGTTCGAAACATTAAGGTGATAGAAAAATATAAAGCTCTCTGCGATGATCAATCCCTGAGGTATGCGCCATGCATTTGACTTCATTAAGAATCGTTGGAGGCGACTGAATACAAATCTGGCCTTTACAATGACTAGCGCTGGTCTACCGATGTATAGAGCCAGTGCTGCTATCTTACTGAGAAGTCTGGTACCAATTTGCCGACTTCGGAGAGATGGAAGGATTGGTGAGACACGGGCGAGAGGATCGATCCCATGTCTTTGCCTCCTACCACTGCTCCACACGGGCCCTATTAAGGTGATAACAACGATAATTCTTGCCTTTTTATGCTAGCATACTATAGTGTTACAACTTACAGTAATCTGACAATAAAAGCAATTTACTAAATGCTTCGAAAAAAGGAATACTAGTATTTCGCATTGCTAAATTTTTTTCACAGTAAAGTGGGGAGCAGATGCTATGATAACTGTTTTTTTACTACTGTCGTTTGAAATAAATATGATTTTCTGAGAAGCAGTTGTTTAAGTACGATCCTTAAGGTCTCAAATAGTCAAATTGAACAAATTTTTCTGTGTTTACCTCTGGTGCTAGCCATCGTACATTCAACGGTTTTGAGAGGTCGATTTTATAGACGTTGGTCGCTCGACACATTCCAAAATCAGCTAATTTCACTATAGACCTGTCGATCAGACAGTTCCTGGTGGCGATGTCGCGATGGATGCAGCTGTAACAGAACAGCGTGGCATTTATAGTAATTCTCTATTCATTAAAGCAAAAAGCCACTTGTTACTTTCGGACTGCTTTCAACAACATGTTAACACGAACTGAGCCTATGCCTCAACTCGGTCTCTCAAATGGATGGCATTCATATCTCGCCCGCCATCCTTGAAAGCACCGACTTCCGTTATATGCAGTCCACAGGATATGGCCAGAAAAACAGCGTTCAGCTCTACAATTAAAATCTTAGACAGCTAGCTTAAACGAACCTCATGAACGTAGGTATCTGTTGAGGACGCAAGTTCTAGTCTACCGCTGAAGGAAGCTGTTTACCTCATCAAACTAGGAAAGATGAGAACAGATAAGGCCACTACAGGATAAAAAGCAAAAGGGTAAAGCTCTCGGCGTTGATCAATTCCTGAGGGATGCGCCATGAATTCGACTTTATTGAGTATCGTTGGAGGTGATTGAAGACATATCTGGCCTTTACAATGACTCGTGGTGGCCCACCGATGTATCAAGCCAGTGTTGTTATCCTCCCAGAGAAGTCTAGTACCAATTTGCTCACAATGGAGGGAAGGAAGGCTTGGTGAGTCATGGACGTGGGGATCGATTCTACGTGTGTGTTGCAGGGCGCCTCCAACCACTGCGTCGCACGCGCCCAGTATAGGGTACACAATGCATTTAAGTGCACCCATAGTTTCGTAGGATAGAGGTGTTTAAATGCATATCCAGTCCATACTGTGACTAATAATTGGGGTCTATCAAGACAGTATTTCATCCAGCCAACCACCCAGATTAGTCTGCCACCAATTTCCCGACCACAAAAGAATGGAGAAACGATTTGCCCTATGCAAAGAATTGAGTCAGCGACAATGTGTGTGTGTATTACAAGGCATTTCTAGTCATTGTTTTAGGAACGCCCGCCTTCATTCAGTGCTCTTCTTGGCTAATTCAGCTTAATAGAGTTCGGCTTTGTTCCAATGACTAAAAGTTTATACACTTTCAGAATGTTCAGCGAAAAAACAATGAATCAATATTAGGGGTTATTGCATAATACAATGCATATGATTTCTTAATGGACGGTGGGTGCACGAGATATTTTCATAAGCACAAATTCTGATATGACAAAAAAGGATTTTAGGCTATAAAATTGAAAGGCTACACTTTTAAAGCACTACTAAGCTTTATCTATTGAAGGAAAAAATTGGACGTTCTAACTACAGGGCACCGCTTTAGACTAAGCAAACCTAAATAAATCCGGACAACCGTCACTTACTCCCTTGAGTGAAGATATTCAAGACCATATGAAGCTTGCGTTGACATATTCACTCTCATTGGAATGGTAGTTTTCTGCAAAAGTACGAACATAGCAGTTTACTTCGATCAGTGTTAGATGTTGTTGTTCAACCTTTGGATGAGCACGTAGTCTGTCTTCTACTGAACCTCCATCACAGTATTCCATAACGAGCAAGTATGGCATCCGATCGACAATAAATCCAAAAAACCTAAACAGAAACGACTGCGTGGCTTCAGAATCCTTGAAGTGCAGAACCTCCTTCACCAACAAAAAATTACTGTGAAGAGACGCACTTTACAATATGTTTGTGATCGTTGAGCTGCATGGCACGAGCTTCTTTCATCATTTCAACAAGCGCTGAACAACATATTTAACATCATATTATGTAATAATATCATCCTTTAACCAACCGTTTGTGTTTAGAGGAAACTCTTGAAAAAACGGCTGCTAGAGCTTAGAGCAAATTAAGAAGAGAAATTTCTAAGGTGCCCTTCCACCAGTAGTGGCAGTAGGCACACCACGTCAATGCTTATCATATAATACGTCAATACTGATGTTCACTATCTATTCGGACCTAGGGTAGTCTAGTTATTCTCCTCTAATTTCATCACTATCATACCACACTGACGGTGCGAACATACTGTATGTGAAGTCACAATAAGTCATGACCACATGATTTCCTTCAGCTCGTCAAAAACTCTTATCTTAAAAAAACAGTTAAGTAATGGTTAAAATCGTAAAAGCCTTGTCCATTGACTGTTAAGGATGAGCAATGCCTCTGACTCCGCTCGTGGCATCCTCGAGGTTATGGGAAGAATATTTGGCAGACACGATGACTTACGAGGCCAACCGATGCAAAGGGTGAGCGATTTTGCATTCTCAGACAAGTCTGATTGAATCGCAGAAGAATGATGAGTTTGGTGTGTGGGCGAAATCAGGATCCAACTAACGACTGCTTATGTATTACAAGTAACTTCTAACCACTGATGAGCTCGCACTCTGTCATGTAAATATTATGTATTTCAGTTCAAGGCGATGGTCTCAATAATTTCATGAATACTGGAGTGGCGACACAAATCTGTACGAGTATTTGCTCAAATGATGTTTTGGTGTGAAACGTAAAACATTGGATCGAAAAGGAGATCAAAAACCGGCCGGAAATTCGGAACAGCAAATCTCCCTAGAGTCCCGAGATAGGCGGACTGGATCGTTCTCAATTGTATTGCAGAGAGCGATTTTTCCCAGAGAAGTCTGGTACCGACTTCCCGCTCTGCAATGGATGAGAGGCTTGGTTGGCCCGGAGCGGATTCGAACTAGCACCATGTTCGTGATGATGGACATCACTACCATTACGCTATCCGCCCCTATTTTAAGTTGCTATTCTTAATCGAATATCTCTTGTAATGGACTTAGTTGGTGCTGAAATTAGCCTCTTTTTAATGTTGCATATGTAAAAAAGAAGTCATAAAAGTCCATTTATTGCTCTTTTCTGCTAAAATTATCTCAATTCTATTCATTACCGTGATCATCTGTTCCTTCGGAATCAATTCTCTTCACAGCAATCATCCGATTATTTTCACGAAGCAGCAGTCCACGATACACCGTACCGTAAGCACCAGAACCAATCTGGATTTAGTTCATAGTTTATAAAAAGTTAAAATTAAAAAGTTAGATGAAATTGCTTCCTTCCAACCTTTTTAAGAAGTTTAACATCGCTATGAACAAGTTGATACTTTCCCTTAGGGACTGGTTTCTTTAGTAAGAGCTCTTCACCTCCTTGTAATACTATTGGTTTTTCGGAGTAATGTTCTACCATCTTTCGTAGATTTGTGAATGTTCTTCCCTGAAACGAGGAAGAAAATTTTCTTAATTGCAGTTATTTTTCATTGTGAACTAGCTTTACAAATTGTTTTTGCATCGGTGAAACCACGTACTCCAAGCCGCACGCCGTTCTCAGACCGTCGAACGTCGATGCGTTTTATGGCGTCTTTCGTCCGAATCGCAATCACCATCCGTTGTCTGACTGCTCCAGACGAGTGGCGAGTTTGAATCAGGAAATCACCTTCGTTCTAAAATTAAAACTGTGGGAGCTTTTATCCAGAAAACCTCAGATGAATACCTAACGTTGTTATAAACGTATGGAAAACAGTTGTGGAATGGTCGACCACCGCTATGGGATATAACTATCCAGCAGCTCCTTTGAGTAAATCCATACCACCACGGAGCTCCGGAACTGCCTATGGACATATGCTCATCGAGAACAGCGGAAAAAATTGCTTTTGACCTTTGATTGAGTAGCCAAGTTTCATTAAACGGCCCTGATGGACGGTGTAGTATGAGTTACCGGTGTACGGTTGAATTAGTCGATTGCCAATGGGATTATAGTTCAGGGATAACCGTAGGTGTACTTAGTTAAAATGAACATTAATTATGTTTACATATCCAATTATGGTCACCGAGATTGATCCACTTGAGTGATCAACTATATTAAGCCGGCCGCTGTTTATTCGGAAAGGACATAAGGCCCAACTGTCACTAAGCAATCACTGCAAGGATTTTTAATCAACCATCTAATAAGTTTTAACCAAAACACTTCCTATTCGTGGAAGTCTACATGTGCCGAAAACCTAATAACATAGGTGGAAGTTCCAAGGTTTTCTCATCAACAGATATCTGATATTAAGAGTAACAGTCACTGTTCTAAGTTAGTGGGCAATCGGGTTTTCACTCTCAGGGCATATAACACATCAGTCAATGGAAACCGCCAGCGTAACATCGACCTTGGTTCAGTTATCAAGAGGTTGCATAGGGCCAGCCGTACGAATGACATCATTTATCACCACTGTTAAGATATCGTCTTTCAACAAACGTGAGCCTCCATAGGGACCATTTTAAATAAGGGACTAAGAATAGTTAGCCACCACCTAAAATTTCAAAAACGCTGAGGGAATTACTCGGAATAGCGCGTGTTGTTATATAATTGGTCACAGGCGCTCAGCTCAAGATTGAAAATCAGCTCTGACACTGAGTATTTCTCCTTAATTAACTAATCTCCATAGTGTACTAGTTTTACCAGCCATGATAACAGATAGTGGATTGAGAGCTAAAATTGAACAGAAGAGATTTCGCATCATCTTGCACACTTCTTTCGCAATAAGGTTCCCAGGAAGCAGAAGAAAGTTGATTTGTTATCATGGTCTTGGACATGGACTTGGACTTAGACGGTCCGTTCTCACTAATTGCGCGGGCTTCAGCATAATCACCACGTTTCGGAGTTTTCCTGGTTTAACCATTGTGATTCCCCGGAGTCTCGAGGTTAGCCTAGCCAGAGTCTGCTCCAGGTCGTCACCACTCCATGCAGTCCTCGCCCTTGTGGATCAGAGGGAGATTTGCCACCATGCGACTAGTTTGATAGCAGGACGGTGGTGGATCCTGGTATTGATTTACTTTTAAGTACGCTTCCTGATGGAAACGCCGGGCTCTTTCTCGGTTTGGGAGAACCTACCAGGTGGATGAATCCCACCGGGTGTACATCGCAATCCGACACCCAGAAACACCTCCCAGCCACGATGAGGCGGTAAACAGTTGGGAGGTGATATGTTATCACCTCCAACAAGTAAACTATGCCAGAAACTCTTGCTAAATTACCCAATACCGATCATAAAAATATACCTACATATCGCACTTCGTCAGGAGCTCCTAAATAAAAGGATACGAAACGAAAACTGTGAAGCTTTTTGTAAATCCTTTTAAGCGAATGGAGTCCGCTAGACAGCGTTGGCTTGAAATAAAGATGAATGGCGAAAGGCTTAGTGGCACTAATTCAAGTCGCTTGGTGTTCGGTCGAATTACATGTGAAATGAATGATATACTACTGTTTCACTTGTTGCAGTTACCTGTAGCATTGTGTCAGCATCTTGATCCATCAACGCTCCGTGAAAGTACGGAAGATTAAAATCATCCTGCATTTGGATCTGAAACTATTGGGGATGAAAACGAGGTTTTAAATGTTCTTTCTATTCTCATACTTTCACTGATGATTTTCCGTGTACAGCACATTGGTGTACCAGTCTGCTCACTACTAAAGAATGACAACTAAAAGCGTTAGTATTCGCTTCTTAGTTTTAAGGAGCACTGGTCTTCACATCTAATGGCGTAGAATTTGATTGATCTGATCGTTTGCAGATCATTTACAGATATTGAACTTTACTTTGAAGATCTCAAAGCTCATTAGATTACTTGGCTTGCGAGATCGCAGCAAGATCTCAGAGCTGATTTTTTTCTTTTTACTTTATTTGACTCGTCTTCACTTCTACTGTGCAGATCCCAGTACTTCTTACATACGATTCGTTTTCCTCGGGCCCATTGTCCACGAAGATCTTCTAACTTTTTACATGTCGATTCTGTTGTTGCTTGAGGATTTTCATTTCACCTTGAATGTCGTATAATGCTGGTCGAGCAACTCTTCCCGGAGTTCTGTGATAGCAGGGGTGAGCGTTCCCATCTGCATTGCAAAGAGTCATTTTTCACCAGACAGGTGCGGCACCAATTTCCCAACCCCGGAGGCATGAGAGGCTTGGTTGTCCCAGGGTGGAATCGAACTAGCCTCATGGTCGCGATAACAGCCGTCACCACCAGTGTGCTATCCGCCCCTAGAGCTGATTAAGGCAATAAAAGTAGCTTATTTCTACTTTCAATGAACCTTTAGGATTGATTGGTTTGCCAGAAGAAACTGCTTTTTCTAATGGATTACATCTCTTTTAAACAGGATACAAATTCCAGCTCTTAAAATTTAGCTAGGTAATAAAATCTTTCGGTGAGATGCTGCTTTGGATTACAAAAAAGCTGCTGCGCACAACTCCAATTAAAGAATATCATTAACAGTTTTAGGGCAGCTCAATCACAATGGAGTTTGGACAACACCGTGCAGTCGTTGCAAACTCTTAACATTGACATTGATGGTTATAAGTAATGAAGGAATCTGAGCTCTCGCCATCTCATGAAATCTTCTTAGCTTACCCTAAGTCGTATTGTCATTACCATCTGAACTTTGTCAGACTTCGAGTTACTGGATGTCGGTTAGCGACTGCAGCTTTCACATTCACACCTTGATCCCTGCGTTATCTATCTTCCATCTCAACAGTTGTTCTTCACATGCCGTTGCCTTATTTATATCCTACCCCATGTTTAACCAAACCTTTTAGTTATATTCATGGTAGAAATTGCCTTTTTAAGTGTACTTGTTACAGTTGGAAAAATCCACTCTTCTAATGTGATTTAAATGACATTGATGACTCAAACAATCATTTTTCAGTGCGTTACGTGCAGCATCAACGCAAATAACCGTGCGCCAAAGTGTAGGATACTTGTGACACGATGATGTAGATATCATCCAAAGTCACCTATATATTGTTTCTGTAGTGTGCATGTCTTTTGGACCAAATACAATATTCCACAGGGATGCTCGTGTTATAACTAATTCCGAAGAAATGCAATGCGAAGGTCCAAAATGTTAGCCGTCATCAAAAAGATGTTCCAGACGGTTAAAATCGTTTGATACTTCCAATTTTAAGAAACTGTTCTCCATTTTCACATCCCATGGATGAACTACTGCAATAATCCACATTTTTGAAAAGTATCATCGATCTCCGTGCAATGTTAGATACACAATGTATAAATAACAAAGTGTTCGGGCTTTGACCATTCTCTGAAGGATTCACTATGCATTTGACTTCACCAACCACCGTTGGGAGTGGTTGAACGGATGTCTGGCCTATGCAGCGACTTCCGGTGGTCTACCAACGTATCAAGTCAGTGTCGCTGTTATACCAGAGAAGTCTGGTACCAATTTGCCGATCCCGGATGAAAGAGGGAATACCAATTTGCCGATTCTGGATGAAAAAAAGGATTGGTGAGCCTAATGCGCGTGATTGAGCCAACGACCACATGTGTATTGAAAGGCACCTCTAGCCATTGCGCTAGACACGCTCTTTAATAAAAGTATACAACAGTTGGATATTTTGATAGTTTCTACCAATGTGCAGCATTTCCTGTGCACGACCAGATATCAATAAAGAAATACAACACTATAAGAGGGTTAAATCTCATCAACCAGAAGCTACTGATCAACGTTTCAGTTAACAACTTACTCAAATCACTGAAAGCGACTGAATATCGGAAGTGCAAGTATAACAATGAGACTCGCTTCAATTTTACAATGAAAAGTGGTTTTATCAATAAGTGCTATCTGTGTAAAACAACAAACCAGGACACTATAAATTATCGAACGAACACATGTACTAACTGCACTCCGCCCGCTCACTGATCCACGGAGGCTTCATCATGCCTGCACTTTTTTGCTGAAGTGCGGCGCACAGCAACACTGTGAACCGTACTATGGCCAACCAAGCTGAAAAAGTGTCCTTTTAAGTTTTGCCTTTTGGGTCCTTCCAAAATCTATGGATACCTTCGCGGCGCAAGAAGCGTATTGATTAGAGAGAGCGCACAATAGACACGATATCTCAGGATCGACATTATGCAGGTAATCTAAACTTTAGATTACCCCACTGTCAGCATATGTGTACCAGTTATGTAAAAGTCTTCTAAAGACGAATATACCTGTGGCAAAAAACTGGGGACGCTCTAGTAGACATCTTCCAGAATTTCATGGAAATGCAACTTCAACAGGTATAGGAAGGTCTGAAGAATTTTGTTGATGACCGGTCCTAAACTGGGAAGGTAATGAAAGAAATTCTGGCATCTTCACAATATGTGAAGTTTATTTATGAAGATAATACTTGTAATAATAATAAAACGTCATAACTGATTGCGAAACGGTGCCTGTTGAGTGATGGGCGGAAGTGTACTCTACTCGGTTTTCCCTCCACACAGAGGACTAGTATGGTTTTCTCGTCCAATTTAAAACACACTTTCCTAACTTTCTATGTAGGATGTTAATGTTTGGATAGCTCTCCCATGAATTACGACCGATGCACTCCGCAACAAGTTTTCGGAGTTCGGAACGCTTTCCACATTGTTGACTTCACCTCATTCATAGTGCTCAATGATTACTATTCACTTATAACCCTTTAGTGTTGCTTTATTTTATGCAGTTTTTATACCCATTTAAGAAACCTCGAAAACTATCTATGCCGATCTAAGCACGAGTTCAAATCATCATTACTGAGATGCAAGTAACCCGTACAAGAGAAGAAAATTTACAAAAAACGGTGCTAATACGCTAATTTAGCATTTCTGCAACTCCTTATGGAAGGCTTAAAGTCGACATGAAATTCCTAGAAGCAGAGATTAAAAAGCAACGTTAATTTGATACTTAAACTCTCATGTAATACTGCGAATTTGCGATGCCATGAGAAGTTCTGCTTCTAATTTACTAGTTCCGGAGGTGTTATGTGAATCTTCTTCGTCAACGGGCGAAATCTCAGTAATGGAGTCAAGTTGTCTTTCCATAGTACTGAGTCTTTAATGAGTTTTTCAATGATTTTCGAGTTCCCGTTAGCTTTCGTTGAAGAAAAGTCTGTAGATTGCTTCGAAAAATTCTTCCTATATTGTGACTCTTGATCCGTAGAGACGCGTCATGTGTTCGACTGCACTCGTAGCATCGTAGAGATTCTTGAATACATATTTGCTTTATGAAACGACTTCTCAAGGACTACCAGTCTATAATGTTTTACTTACCTAAATACTCGGATGGTCTGTCTTCACTGGTTGTGGGGGCCCCGGCATAATTTCCATTTTTTTCGGAATTTTGCTGGTACAGCTATTTTGGCTCTCTGGCTTCCAAAGTCAACCTATTCAAAGTTTGCCCCAAATCGTGACCATCACAGGTAGACGCCGCCCTTGTGGATCAGAGGGAGATTTGCCACCATGCGACTAGTTTGACAGTGGTAGATCCCGGTTTGGTTTACTCTTAACTGGGCTTCCTGATGGAAATGCTGGTCACCTTCTCAACTTGGGAGACCCTGCTGAGGGATGAATCCTCTCGCTGTACATAGCAGTCCGACACCCAGGAACACCTCCCTGCAACGACGAAGTGGTAAACCGTTGAGAGGGTGCGTCATATCATTGTTATCATATTCATAGGCCAGTACGACACCAATTTGCCGACTCCGGATAGAAGGTAATGTTCTTGTCTCGAACGCTGAATCGGATCAACGGAACATGTGTCTCGTGGGATACCTTAAACCACTGCGCTACACCGCTCCTCCAAAAATTCCTATGTTGAACTAACAATGGAGTTTTATAATGACCGCTACCTACCATTCGTGAAAAATAGTCACAGTGTTGCTTCTATCTGATAAACCATGTGCATATAAAAATGAAGAATAACAATGACAATCTCTAGGATATAGATGGCTCCATAACATTATGCACAACTTTTTCGTCAGAGTTTTTAGTGGGTGTTTGGTTACTCTGTGTGATTGGTACGCCGTTCCCAAGCCACGTCATTTTTTCTTGCACTGATTGTTTACATAAAACGGAGGGATCCGTGAGAGTAGAAAACTGCCGATTACTCATTTAATATCAATGCCTTTCAATATCCTATGCAAAGTCGCAGACTTGTCTATGGAATCATACGTGTAATTCGAAGTTTCTTCGAAAATATGTTCAGGAGGATTTGAAAACGTCATATCCTCATAAATATTGATCGACAGCATCTACACGACAGTATCATAGAGCTCTGTCCAGAATATCACCTTTCACTGACTTTTCCTGACCACAAGAAGTCAGATTAAGGACACGAATGTCATGTATCCTAGACGAAATAAGCCCAGAGATTGGTCCGAGTACAAATCGGCTGGAGCTACAGTTTGTGGGGAAAATATGACAAGAACTAATTGGCATAACATGAGTAATAATGCTAACAATATCTTACGTGTTTGTCTACTGAACAAAAGCACCATAAAATAAAAATGTCATCTATTGGTAGCACAGAATGTAGAGGATGTTTTCTACCACATAGACAATCTTTTTCGTCTCTTCGGTCAGTTTACAGTTGTAGTTTCTCTCCTATCAGCCAGCTGTGAAGTCCTTCAATTTGGCACGCATACTATGATATTCCGTGTAAAAATGATTTTTTTAACCTTCCAGCAGTTGTTACTCGTAATTTGCACTTGTCTACTGTTGGTGAAAGAAAAGGTAAAAGGATTAAGCTCTTGGCTCTGATCGATCCCTAAGGGATGCGCCATGCATTCGACTTCAAGCACCGTTAAACATGGTTGAATTCATTTCTGGTTTTCACTATAACTCTCGATGACCTATTGGTGTATCGAGCCAGTGCTGCTAGCCTTCCAGACAAGTCTGGTAGATATTCGCCGACTCACAAAAGATGGAAGGCTTGGTGAGCCTGGGGTGCGGAATCGAACCCAGGTGTATTCCAGGGCGTTTCTAATTATTGCGCTGCGCGCGTACCATGGACACAAATAAGATTTGATTGCCTAAGTACTGAAAAAGAAAATAGTTAGTTTACAAGAGCCGCATGGCCACAGGGAAGATAAGAACAAATGCAAGCATATAGATGCACATGTAAGCCACCACAGTCGTCGTTGGGCTCTTCGTTCAACAGAACAAATCAGTCTCCAACATTCTTGTTTAGAACATCATCTGAAAACTATAGAATATAATTCTTCGTATTTTTGTTGAGCAAACGCGAGGTGTTATTATTCCTTATTCACGAATAAGCTGACGTTTCGGCGGGCTTCGCCTTCCTCAGAGCCTGGAAAGGTCAAGTTGATAGCAATCTACTCGGCCAGACGCCTCCATAACCAAACAAAGAAAACACTAAACCAAGATTTCAATCACATTGAACACAGCTTTGCACACTCGCCGCTTTCTGTGAGTCTTCCACTGAGTATGTCTCGTAGAGACCAACCGCACAGAAATCACATGGAAGTATAATGTGCCCCTCCCATCAGAATAGGAGTCTTATATTGTCTGATCTCGGGCCGCTACTCTACTGTAGGTATGTAGACGACTGCTTTGTCCTTTGCTCAACACAAGAGGAAATGGACAAATGCTTCGAATTGTTAAACGCACAGTCAGAGTATATCAAGTTCGCCCGAGAAAAGCCGAAAGACAAATGGCTTCCATTTTTGAACGTACACATTCACCTATCAGAAAATGGCTTCATTACAAAGTGGTACCGAAAGCCAAGGAGTAAAAATATCTTGGTTCATTACCTCTCCTCTCACCCCTCTCACACGAAAAGGGCGCTTATAAGAAACATGTTTCGAACAGCAACCAACGTGTGCACGGGAAGAGAGCAGAGAGAGGAGTCCCGGAACTTGGCACGGCAAATAGCCATTTCTAATGGCTAGGAAACTGTAGCTCAGGATAGGTGTAGAGGAAATCGTAGGCCTCCAAACGACAACTCTAGCGATAAAAGGGTCCCGTTTATCCTACCCTTTATCTCAAATGATATAAGTACAGCTACAAAACGCTGCTTGAGAAGGGCGGGCTTAGAGAAATCGGTAAACGTAGTTGAAATACCACCGAGTAATCTTAAGCGCCAGCTAGTTCGTAACCGCCTATATGACCGTCTATNAGCCGTTTCTAATGGCTACGAAACTGTAGCTCAGGATAGGTGTAGAGGAAATCGTAGGCCTCCAAACGACAACTCTAGCGATAAAAGGGTCCCGTTTATCCTACCCTTTATCTCAAATGATATAAGTACAGCTACAAAACGCTGCTTGAGAAGGGCGGGCTTAGAGAAATCGGTAAACGTAGTTGAAATACCACCGAGTAATCTTAAGCGCCAGCTAGTTCGTAACCGCCTATATGACCGCCTATGTGCAACTCAAAATTGCATGATCTGCCCCAGTGGTAGAGACGGTGATTGCATGAGCTCGGGTATAGTTTATCTGATCTCCTGTAAGACGTGCAGTGACGAATACATTGGCGGAACGGGTAGACCCCTCTGTGTCCGCATAAAAGAACACCTAGCCAGCAAAAAATAGACCAAATACACCGCTAGGCACGCACAGGACCCAGAGACATAACGGGGACGACTTTGAAGTATGTGTCACGATCCTCGCACTCGAGTCAAGAACACAGGCGCGAAAAACTCTCGAGGCACTCTGGACTAATTCCAGAAATCCGAAAATGAACCGCAGGGAAAAATGCCTCATTATCACGCGTGATATAGGGCAGTATATAAGACTGCTATTCTGATGGGAGGGGCACATTATACTTCCACGTGATTTCTGTGCGGTTGGTCTCTGCGTGACATACTTAGTGGAAACCTTATAGAAAGCGGTGAGTGTGCAAAGCTGTGTTCAACGTGATTGAAAACTTGGTTTAACTTGGTTTAGAGTTCCTTTGTTTGGTTATGGAGGCGTCTGGCCTGGTGGATTGCTATCAACTTGACGTTTCCAGGCTCTGAGGAAGGCGAAACCCGCCGAAACGTCAGCTTATTCGTGAATAAGGAATAATAACACCTCGCGTTTGCTCAACAAAAATACGAAGAATTGCTTGATCAATGCCGAGGTTAATAGAAAGTCGGTCGTGGGAGTTACTATAGCATATAAATCTATTGCAGTGCCTAAACATTGCGTATTCTAATTTCTGATGGCACCGTTAGGGTAAAAAGCCTGGCTGACAGAAAGGTAAAATGAGAGCTTCAGTGGTGTCGTGCGTACCGCTTGAGCCGTCGAAAGGAGGGCAGTAGCGGCTCGATCTGGCCTGGAGTCGAAGTTTTGCAAACACCTCAGCGTCATTGTGACCGAAATTTTCATTTTCCGGACTATGATCCACACCTTCTCAACCATTTGATGGCTACTTATGGATATTTCGGAATTCCCAGGTAGCTGGTGGCGTGATACGAGCCCAGTCTCGATAGTCGAGCATTTAAACTCGTACAGCAACGACAACACAACTAACCAGTTTTTACACTATCTATCATATTATTCTATCATTTAACTAATACAAACTGTGACTACAATTGCAACAAACGGGCACCTGGATGACTCGTCTTCACTGGCTGTGCGGGTCCAGCACAATCTCCATTTTTCGGTGATTTGCTGGTTAAGCCATTATGGTTCCCTGGAGTCCCGAGGTCAGTCTGGCCAAAGTCTGCCTCAGCTCTTCACCATCACGGACAGTTGAAGCCCTTGTGGATCAGAGGGAGATTTGCCACCATGCGACTTTGACAAAAGAACGGTGGTGGATCCTGGTATTGGTTTACCCTTAGTCAGGCTTCCTGATGGAAACGCCGGACTCGTTCTCAGCTTGGGAGACCCTGCCGTGTGGGCGAATTCCCCCTCTGTACATCGCATTCCGACATCCAGGAACACCTTCCAGCCACAGTGAGGTGCTAAACCGTTGGGAGAAGTCTCTACATTATCTATCATATTGTTCTATTATTTAACTACCACAAATTGTTGATCAGCTGTCACTACCAAACATTTAATGAGTCACCCATAGCTACCACCTAGAACTGTATGGTGGTTTCGATTGACAAACCGCAGGTCAAATGATAGAACGGGCGTCCCACGTCCAAACTCTGATGGTCCTTTGGGTTCTGCGCGAAAATGCGATGTCATGGACCGTTTTCGCGGGCACACTGAAAGCCCAGAACAGCAGCTGTACAGCTTTTCTCAGCGAGCTGCTCCAAGGGTCATCGAAAGCATTCGACGCCAAGACGATATTCGAGGCTTTCAATTCCTACAAATACCTTGGTCCCTTCGACGTTTCCGACTTGGCAGTAATACTTCAAATTTTCTTCTGTTAGAATTGAGGATTTGCCCACATCACCAATATTTCGGGTGTTCAGGCTCTCCTGTTGATTTCTGTATTTTTGCGTCGAGTGAATTACGGACTGATATTCAAATTTAGACGAGAGCTTTAAACAATAGCACTCTATTGATGTGGTTCTAGAAAGTTTAATAGTATCTTTCTTTCACTCGACTCTTTCATTTTTTCAATAAACTTCGTAGTCTGCCGTTCGTTATGCATTGAAGCCAATTCTTCTTTTGGCGAAGATGGAAAGGAGGTTGGTTCGCTGTCGGTTTTCAGATGGTTCTTCAAAATGGGTTGCCTAGTAGTGAATCTGGTGATGTCAATGGTCCACTAATGAAATATATACTTGTTACGGGTGGAGTAATCAGCGGAGTTGGCAAGGGTATTATATCGTCAAGTATTGGAGTGCTTCTGAAGAACAACGGTTATAAGGTGTGTACAGATGGAAATTGAACGTCTTTTTTAAATTATAAAACGGTGTTGGTTATTTATTACTCGTTACTTTATTGAGATTCGAAACATCAGGGTAGAATGCTTGTCCTAAAATATCCCATACAATGAAGCTGTATTGATTTAGGTGTCGGCCATTAAAATCGATCCTTACCTTAACATCGACGCAGGTACCTTCTCGCCATATGAACACGGTGAATACTACATATATGTTGCTTCAAACCATACCCTACTTTGTGAGTGTTTTTGTAAATTTAGGAGAGGTGTTTGTGCTGGACGACGGAGCAGAAGTTGATCTTGACTTGGGTAACTATGAGCGATTTCTCAACGTCAGACTAACTCGGGACAACAACATAACAACGGGCAAGATGTTCCAACATGTACGTTATAATCTTCATATTGATAGATCTAAGTTGAATCGGGCTCGTATAGCGCAATGGTCGGAGGCGCACTGCAATACACACGGGAACGATACCCGCGCCCCAGGCTCACCAAGCTTTCCCTCCGGAGTCGGCAACTGGTACTAAACTTGTCTGGGAGGGTATTAGCACTGGCTGGATACATCGGTTGGCCACCGCGAGTCATTGTAAAGGACAGATATGCGTTAAATCACCATCAGCGATGCTTAGTGAAGTCAAATGCATGGCGTATTCCTCAGGGATTGATGAGCCTCGAGAGCTCTATCCTATTTTTATTTTTATACTAAACCTGGACTCGTTGAGGTTCGGATTTGTTCAGGTAACAGAGCGTGAACGTCGTGGAGATTACTGTGGACAGACTGTACAGTTGATTCCACATTTCACCGATGCCGTCATTCAGTGGATCGAGAGAGTGGCTCGAATACCAGTGGATGGCACGATGGAGTGTCCTGATGTTTGCATCATTGAGGTGCCGTTATATTGCTTAAATCATAGGTTATCTTTGCTTACTGTCAATGCCTAATGTTCGCATACATGTGGTGCGAACACACACTGCTCTCAATTCCTTTCCTGATATTGATATCTACAAAACTAGTTCCACCGATGTAGACAAGCTTCCACACGCTTGAGTTGCTAAAACTTCCGCGCCAGCATACTTTCGCCGACCTTTTGTGTCCGCTTCGTTGTTCTTCTTTAAGAACAAACTATGTTCGGGTTAGACATTTATGAATCGCAACCGTGAGACATGTGGAAGTTCACAGGGGTATATTCCTGTACACTTGGATGTAAAGGAGATTGTTAATGATCATGGTGGTGGTTGGCTTCCAACTTGGTGACGTGTTCGAGTATTGCCCCGTGATCTGTTGAACATCTTCAGCTCGAGTTCATTCGAGTGATGCTAGCTAAAAACATGTCTGTTCATCGTGTAAGTGGTCGTCTTGGACAATTTTGTCCACTTGGAGACCGTGTTGCTCTTTATTTTCGTCCTCAGTCATCTTCTCTTATTCTGTGACTAGGCCATGTTTCGGTATCGATTCGTTATTTTCTGAATTTCGATGCTGTGTAGGTTTCGAATATCTGGACTGCGTACTCTTGCAAAACGTATTCTTGTGTCGGTTATATTTCAAAGGATATTGTTTAATCTCTTTATGGGTAGCGCACACAGTTCTTGACGTGGTTGGGGTATCATCCCAAGTTTGGAGCATAGCATGCAGAACACTGGAAGGATAATGTTATACCTTTTTATTTTCTGCCTACTATAATTTCGCGGCAGGGTACTAAGCGAAATACAATCACAACATTGCTGAGATATTAGCAAAACTCTGGACCGCAGGTGTCTATGGTGGAGAACGAACGCGCTATTGTCCTTTCCGGGAAGTAACACGTTCACCACCACACCATGCGGGTCCTTCGTTTCGCCTGTCTCTCAGCTATTTCTATCGATTTTTGCCACAGCAATCACCCATCAGCGGGATGCCGCGACGAGCTCCAATCGTATTTGTATCAGAAGGCAAAAAAGCATTGGAATTATTCGTTTACTCAAAAGACGGCTTTTTCGCCATTAATTGAATAACCAAACTCCTAAGCATGTAGGCAGAGCGCCGGAGCGCTGTGCCTTACAGATGTCATACCATGGAAGCATGGTTGCCAGGTTAAATCCACTTCGATGAAAGCAAACCCTCATGCCTCTGGAGTTAATGAATTTGAATTAGACTTGCCTAAGAACAGCTCTATCCGATACCTAAAATGCTCTAGTGTAGTTAGTTCAGAAGGCTAGGAAGCATCAACGCAGTAGACAGCCAGTGAGATTTATGGATTTCAACTAAAGCCTCAGCTTAACTGGGTTCTATGCCGATTTTCGCGCCCAGATCAATCCCGCTGACGAATGATTGCTGTGGCAAAGATCGATAGAAATAGCTGAGAGACAGGCGAAACGAAGGACCCGCATAGTGTGGTGGTGAACGCGTTACTCCTCGGAAAGGACAATAGCGCGTTCGTTCCTCACCATAGACATCTGCGGTCCAAAGTTTTGCAAATATCTCAGCAACTGGAAGGATAGTTGAATCAAAGAGCTGATGATGGAGTTCTTAGCTCGTTGGCTGGTTGGTGGCTCCACTGGGAGGCGCAAATGCAGCCCATGCTCTTTTCATCTCATGTGTGAATTCTTAATGTTGTCTCTGTTCATTTTTGCATCCAAAGTGCAGGTTCGAGGTGGTCTTTGCATTCAGCAGCATCTAATTTCTTCTTGTCGCTGTTTCGAGCTAATTTAGTGTCGTATCTGTTTCGCTGATGCTCATCGAACATATGGCGATGCCAGTAGAACGAAGATTTTACAGGAATCACCCATCAGTAAGAGTGTGTGGCGCCACTGCGACACGTATGTGGGTCGATCCTCACGCCAAATGGCTCATCAAGCCTTCCATCCCTCCTGGGTTGGTAAATTGATACCAGACTTCTCTTTGAGGATAGCAGCACTAACTCGATACATCGGTAGGCCACCGCGAGTCATTATTAAAGGCCAGATATGCATTCAGTCACCTCCAACGATACTTAATGAAGTCAAATGCATGGCGCATCCCTCAGGGATTGATCAACGCTGGGAGCTTTTCGAGCTTTTACCACTCAATGCATATGTCGTTCTCGTCCTAATCAAGCAAATTCGTTACCCACTGCAGTGTGACTGTAAACAGCTTCGCTAAAGTGATGTCTCACTGTAGCAATAACACTCAATTATAGTTCTTCCATAGCATCTCCGCTTCTTAATCTGCAAGTGCCGACAGGACTGCATTCGTGTGGACGCAGTCGAATGCTTTTTAGCAGTCGACAAAAGTTAGGGTAAAGTCCGCAGGTGGTATTTTCGACAGATTTCTTTCGAAATATGAATGCTACGGATGTGGTTCGTGCAAGAGAATCCCTTTCGGAAACCTGGTTCCTTCCTTGATGCACACAACAGAATAGTCTTTGTGCTATGAAACACTACCGGTATTAATTATACTTTTGATAAAATGCCAAATTATGATCGTGACATTCATAAGTACTATCTTATGACAAATTTTCCAGCTCGGAGGGACCGTTGGTGATATCGAAGGCATGACTTATCTCGCTGCGTTTGAGCGTTTCCAAAGGCCGGCGTTAAAAGTGATTTTCATTTTCTGTGACAGAGGAATTTACCTTTCCTTTTTACATCGTGACCCATATTTTAAGGATTGTATGATGAATGTACACGTATCGTTAGTCGTGCACCCATACGCCACTGGTGAGCCGAAAACTAAACCTATGCAAAATTCTGTAAGTTTCTTAAAACACTCTTGCCATATAAAAGTATCCTGGAAGTAGTCCGTACAGGTTCGACACTTGCGTGCAGCCGGGCTCGTACCTGATCTACTTATTTGTCGCTCATCTGAGCCTCTACAGGACCATCTTCGAGAAAAGATCGCAACATTTGGACTTGTAGACTTAGAGCAGGTTATCCCTTCCACAATTTCAAGCTCATATTCGCAAATATAATGTTTTTCTTTCATTAGGTTATTGGAATACATGACGTTTCAAATATCTACAAGGTTCCATTGTTACTTCAAGAGCAACATGTGCTGGATATTATTATTCATCGTCTGCATCTGAAACCCATTAACGAAGTAGTACAACGTAACTTAAAGTTCAACATGTGCCACTGGAGGCAACTTAGTGAGTTGTGAGTGAATTGTTCTTATGTCCTTGATGCGTTTTGTTGTATTCTTGTGCTTCAGACATCGAAAATCTGCATTAATCACTGTTAATATCAGATGTGACTCTTTCAATGAGGAAGTCGTCATCGCTTTGGTCGGGAAATATGTGAAGATCGACGATACTTATGCATCCGTAAATAAGGCGCTAAAACATGCTGCAATTCATAGTAAACGGGTCGTCAAAATCAAGGTGATTTATTTTTGCTCGTTGATAGCGGCTAATTTCGCTTATCGTGTATTTAGCTAGTCGATGCAGAACTTTTGGAAAGTGGGAAGCCGTTGGAACTGAAAGCGAGATGTGATTCCGCTTGGGAAATCGTTAGAAGTTCACAGTTAGTTCTTTATCTCATCACATGCTTCCTTCTGTTTTGCAAATCATATCCCATTTTGTAGCGGCATCATAGTTCCTGGAGGATTTGACAAACGTGGCGTCGAAGGAATGATTAAAGCCTGTCAGTATGCAAGAGAGAATGACGTGCCATTTTTAGGTAATCAACGGTAAAGAAGTTTTTAGTCGTTAAGTTCTTCTTTATTAAAAGGGTTTTAAGGAGTATGCTTGGGGATGCAATGCGCAGCTATTGAGGTAGCTCGAAATCTCCTTGGAATTTCCAATGCCAACTCTACGGAGTTCAACAAAGATTTGCATGAAAATGAACAGGTGATTTTTCTGGTCTCATAATTCCACTGAAAAGACGATGAGCATTAAGGGTTAAATATATCAGCACATCTGATGATCTTGCATTTTTTAGCTCACATGATACGGTGCATCTGAATTTTAGTTTACGGTTAGGTAGGAAGTAGCTATGTTTTTCTTGGACTTTAGCTTGTGATTTTTTTTGACCAGTTTAGCACGTTTTAACACCTTGGTATCTCTATGTGAGTATGACGCTTATCACTCTTATCAGGGTTATTTTTGTTCCGTTTTTGTTGGCTTATTTGATATTAAATGATTGTTTGAAACATCCAGGTGGTTTTGTTTATATTTGCATATGTGCTATTTAGGTAATCATTGACATGCCGGAGCACAATGTTGAAAACCGAGGATTGGGAGGAACGATGCGTCTCGGTCGAAGAACTAGCGTATTTCTCACAGAGCAGTGTAAATTAAGTGGGGTACAGGATTTTTCTAATCTCATAAATCCAGGAGATATAGGTCATCGTGGTGGGTTTTCATTTAAGGAAGACTATATGGAAAGGATGAGATCGAAGAGCGCCATCGTCACAGGTACGAGGTCAACCCACGACTTGTACCTGATCTGAGTAGTAAAGGTCTTCTTTTTGTCGGTGAGTATAGGAGCGATTGATATTTGGTGAATAGTGTATTCTTATATACACATATACGTAAGCTCCTATATTTATAAAAGTTTGCAGGAATGGGGGTCGATGAAACAACCTGTACGACGCTCACGAACCACTGTCGTACACAGTCGAGTGCCGCACTGATGAAAATGGCAAAGGATTACCGAACAAATGAGGTCTGTTTCCATTGTTCCTGTGCCACGTTTTTCGTACAGGAAAGGAGTCGTATCTGTTAGTTTTACTAACTTTTGTACTCTTAGTCTTGGTCAGTAGGTAAAACATGTAGGGCCTAAAATGAGGAAAGGTCTTATTTTAGATTGTTGATCTAATAGTATTATGTTAACCGTTAAGGACTTCGTTTACCTGCGCCGTTAAATGAAGTTAAACGTTCTAAATTAAATGCTGATGACATTGATAGATAAAAATTACTTAGGAGACAGGTGAAACGAAGGACCCGCATAGTGTGGCGTTTGCCTTCGAAAAGAGTAATAGCGCGTTCGTTCCCCACCGCAGTCACCTGCGGTCCGGAGCTCTGCAAATACCTCGGCGTCATTATGGTTAAATTATAAGTATTTATTGGTTTAGGACTTGCTGTCAACGATCGCTGATCTTTGTCATCAAGGAGGCGACGGAGTAATTCGTCCTGCCGTGAGAATGGAAATATGCGAAATGAGAGGTGGAGTATCAGCATTTGTTAACCAGTTTGTGTTTTCGTTCCGAAAACTTGAGCAACTGTATAATTTGCGAAAAATCCGACAAGTGTTGAGTGCTACTTTAGATCACCCATATTTTGTTGGCACGCAGTTCCATCCAGAATATCTTTCACATCCACTGCAACCCAGTCCTCCATTCCTTGGTCTTTTGCTTGCTGCGTCTGGGCAACTAGACGTAAGTCTTGACTAATTGTTATAGAAAGTGATCGCCAGCATGTCAAATAGTTTGGCTTTTTATTCTGCTTCTTGATAATGTTGGGTCATCTGTATCTATTTAGGCGTATCTTCAAGGTGTTAGGACACCATCTCCCATGTTTTCACTTGTGGAAGAGTGTTCTCCTTAGCTGATGAATATCTTAACTTGTGCAGTCTGTGCTCATTATTTCCTCCCAATAGGAAGTGTCTTTATGTTGTTATTCACTATTTTATAATATCTAGTACAATCGACTAGTTTTATTTGTTCCATAGAACGAAATTACACCTCTGATGTTATTAAGTTTATATTTCGGATATTTTATTATGTAGACCGACTAGGTAATAGCGTTGTTTTAGTTTGTTAATCTGTTCTTATTTTTTTTAACGACTACTTTTCTAGGCTTAGGTCTAGGCTTGGGGGGAACCCCCTTAAGCTTGGGCTTAGACTTAGGCTTATTGTCGAATTGTATCGTTCGCAATGTCTTTACAAACTAAGAAGGGGTTGTTCTAGAAGTACGAATTCCATTGACAGCATTGCTTAGTACTGTTTAAGCATTTGATCGTTGTCTTTAAGACTTTCACTTACATGTTCCATTTTGTGTTTGCCTTTTTTAATTTCCTAAATATTGATGCAAGAGTGTTTCTTCTGGAGTAGGAGGTATGGTTCACTTCCGTCTATTTGCTCTTTCTGATGTTTTGAGTTCATATTTAGCGAAACTGCTTGCAGTGATTATTTCTTTCTTTCGATTTCACTTTCCCCAATGATGGCGACGACAGCCACTTCAGCATACCATGTAGCACAGCTGATAGATAAAATGATGTCTGTAGACAAAGTCGGTCCCACTCTTTCAAATAGTAATTTTTGATAAAACAGTTCGCTTTACCAGTTGTGTATTTTAGGACTATCGCTTTATGGCTGTAAATGACTTAATGCGTGAGCTACAGACGAACAACATGCGACTTGATGATGACTCAGAGAAGAAGGTGCTGTTCACTTGTGAATTGTGAATTATTGAGACTAATCGGTACTGAATTTGGCATACAAAGATGCTGAGCCATTTATGAGATTTCGCGGATGCTATTATGCTTCAGCATTCAGAAAGTGTTTGTTTAAAAAGAAACTTGCTGGTGAGAGACATTTTGGTGTAAATCTTGTTCATCAATCTGCATTGCAACGGTGTAGTTTTGATGAGATTTAGAACTCACCAAAAGAAATCTGTTTATGCGTTATGGTCTCTCATCACTTTGTATTAAGGCTATCATCTCCGTGTGACATCCATATCTATTAAAAGTGGTGGCTAGAGGTTCTACTCGTAAATCTCTTATATTAATAATTAGTTAAAGTAGTGGTTTATATGGCGATAAACGGTAGCGCAATGTCTGTCTTGGCAGGGCAAAGTGCTCATTTATCCATTGCTCGATCGAATCTGTTGTATGGGCCAAATTCGTATTTAAAAGAACTAATAGGATTACTGAATTTGGCATAAATGTGGTGACACATCTTAGTGTGATTTTGATGGGCGTTCTACCTTCCTATAATGAATAGCGAAATTAAGAGCATGGTTACTTTGTTGTTTTATGAATTCTGTGGGCGGGCGTGGCGCAATGGTCGGAGGCGCCCTGCAACACACGTGGAATCGTTCCCCGAAGCAATAGCTCACCGAACCTTCCGTGCTCAGGGGTCGGCAAATTGGTACCAAACTTGTCTAGGAGGGTGGCAACACTAGCTCGATATATCGGTAGGCCACTGCGAATCATTGTAAAGGCCTGATATGCATTCAGTCACCTCTAACGGTGCTTAATGAGGTCGAATGCATGGCGCATCCTTCAGGGAGTGATCAACGCTGGGAGCTTTATCCTTTTTATCCCTTGTCGATTCTATGGAGTACAGCAGGATTTGTCAGAGCTGGCTAAATTAATGTGGTGTTAACAACACAAACTTCATAATGAACTTCACAAGATTTCTAAGAAATATGACTTTTTTAATTGGAGGATCAGCTTCAATTATAATACGTTTGATATTAGAGGAAAATCTTTCATAGGTGTGACAGGAAAGTTCTGTTGAGTTTAAAGTGGTAACGCGTATTGTTATCGGTTAGTCTACCGCAGTTTTGCATGCTTAGGTTGTTCGTATGCTGATCCGACTTTTGGATGACAACAACGGCGAGGTCCAGAATCTTGCAGTAAAATGTCTTGGTACTGTTACTCAACGAGTGAAAGAAGCTCAGGTCCGCATTTTTTTTTTTAGTATGGCATATTAAGGTTCTTGTTTAATGTTTAGGCTGAGACTCTTGTGGATGCTCTTTGTTCTATGATGGTTGCTGGGTCCGACGCCTTAAGAGACGTAAGCTAGTATCGCTACGAATTAATGCATTTAATGGTATCTGTCTTCAAATAAGGTTTAGGTCAGTTCTATCGCATTAAAAACGGTGGTTGGAAACCTACCAGTGGCAAACACCATGTTTGTTACGAATCTTATGAAGAGATTAGTACCGAAGTTGAATTCTGCTCTGGGTGAGCTCTCTTATTGTCATTGGTTGAATTGTTGTTAAATTTATCCATATATTAGAACAAACAAAAACAAACGATTCGGTTCGTCTTGAAATAGTCGACATCATAGGAGATGTGCTCTCTCGCTTTGGATCAGTCATCACGTCAGTTCATAAGGACGTATGTATCTTAATAGTTTTAGCTTCCCACATCATCGAGTTGCCTCATTTTTCTCATTTTATGTAATTTTTCGTTATTTTTCGGCTTTCGTGCTTCTACATACTTGTTGTAGACTCAGAAGGTTCTTCTTGATCAACTTTTGCTGGAGCGACCGGCACTTAAAAAGAAATCGACGATTGCACTCAGTGCAATGATGGCTGTCTGTTCTCATGAACTGTTCATTGATACGATGGATGTGCTGGTTGAAAGGTTTGTCTTGATTTCCTTCCACTGTGTTATCAAGTGAAGTTTCTCAGTAAGCATTCTGCATATATTTAGACTAAGTGAAGCAAAAGGTTCGCACTCAGTGCGAACGTATGTTATCGCGTTGACGTGTGTGGCAAAGTCCAACGGATCTCGATTTGCAGAATATGTCCCGAAGGTTTTTTTTTTAATTTTGTTCTACTATTCGCTTATTGGTATTGGTTTACTCCTAGCTGGGCTTCCTGATGAAAAACGTTGGACTCCTTCTGAGCTTAGGGGACCCTGCTGCAAAGTTGAATCCCCTCACTATACCTCGCAGCCCGACACCCAGGAACACCTAGCCACGTTGAGGCGGTAAACCGTTGTGAGGCCTATGTTATTAGTTGAAGCAATCCATTTTGACATTTCTGCTGAAACTCTTTTTAGCTCTTATCGAATCATAGTAGGTAATTCTTACTGATGCATTTGCGCTGTACCTCACCACTTTATCTGCCACCAATTTCTTTTATGTCAGTTGAAACAGTAAATGATTTGAGTAGCGTGAAGGCGTTAAAGTTTGTTGGTATAATAAAGTACAGCATATCAGAGCTATATCGGACTTGAAATGGGAAATATCCAATTTCTAAAACAGGAGTAGACGTGCTGGTGGTGACGTGTCAATGTTATTGACCCTATGTCGATCGAATTCTACACAAATAAAATCCACTTTTTTACTCAACCGATGCCTCAGGTGGTCCCAAAAGTCATGGAGCAGGTCGAATCTTCAGATGATGACGAACTAAAAGAAGCATTACTGCAGTATCTGGAAACGTTAATTTGCCACTGCCCGCGCGAAATAACCCCGTTCCAGGATCGGATTCTCAAGGTATGTTTATTTGGATTATTGAGTGATTCCTTTCGTGTCATTGGTTGTCAGTATTCATCGAAAAATTTCGTTATAATTATCATTATTTCAAGTATACATCGTTTAGATTGTTACTGCGGACCTTACTTATGATCCTAACTATTCATACTCTGATGACGAGGACGATACCTCTATGGAAGTCGGTGGTAAGTAGTTACCGATTTTAGAGTGGTTTTGTTATTAGTATGTTTTCCTATGTTAAGATGGTGAAACAGATGAAGACGACGCTGAAGATTACTCTGACGATGATGATATGAGCTGGAAAGTTCGGCGAGCGTCAGCAAAGACCATTGAGGCTATGGTTAAGCAACCATTCGCTTTCATTGGTTTTTTGGCTAATATTTTCCTTCCATCCAGATTGTATCACGTCGTGATCAACTTACGTCGTCCGTGAAATCCTTGGGTCCTCTACTTATTTCTCGACTACGAGAGAGAGAAGAGAATGTACGGATCGACATCTACAATGCGTACATTGCGATTCTTTCGCAGGCTCGTCTCGTCGTGCCGAATGCTCTAGCCGCAGTTCATGTTCGTGCACTGTTTTACAATCGGTTATTTCTATATTTGGTATCCACTCTATAAGATAATCGTGTCTCTTTCTTTAATTTTTATACTCAGAGTCATTTCAGGAAATGCTGCATTACTACTTCGCATTTGTTTCTTGCTTTTAATCTTCGTTTATTTTTCCCATCCACCTGCTTTATTCAACAGCAAATTTGCTTAAGAGAGACGATTCGGAGGACTCAATCACAATTGGGACTACTCTTTTTTCGTCCTCCGTTTTATCTCGAGAACAACAACAATTGCTTGAGGCTATCGCTGCACAGTCAGAGCCATTGCTAAAAGTAGGACAAATATTGTTGTGTGACACGATACATCCTCAGGAAATGGTTTTCAGGCTGTTATGAGGCAGTTGAGGCTGAAATCGCCTCGAACTCGTAGTCTTTCATTTGAGTTGTTGGCTAACTTTGTCAGGTAATTGAACGTATGACAAATTAATGAACTTAGTTCAAATAACTAAATTAGCGATTTAGAACATTGCCGGGCTCATTGGCACCTTATCTACCAGGTTTGTTACCTGGATTGTCAAGTGCCGTTCTTGATCGTTCCAGTGGAGCACCTATGAAAATTGATGCACTTTCGCTCCTATCGAGGATTATAAAATCACACGATCACAATGTAAGTATTTTTCTTTCGAGCTGCGTTTAAACTTTATGTTCACAGACAGAAACGCTTCTGTACTCTAGGTGTTTGCACCACATCTTGACACTGTTGTTCAACTTACAGTTGGGGCTATCCGGGACAATTTCTATAAGGTATAAAAGTGTTCTCTTTGTGGTTTGTTTATAGCTGCGTTTCCTTTGGTATTAATCCGAGCAGATAGGTTTCGTTTGTTTTTTCTTTGTACCATTTAGGTCTCAGCAGAGGGATTAGCTGTGGGGTCACTTTTGGTCCCAGTTATTCGCGACTGTGGAGGTGCTCACTTAGTTCCACTGCTGTTTGATGCGATTTCTGAGAAACTCAAAATAAGTGACATTGACCAGGTAAAGACGTCAATTCATCATCTAGATGCCCTAACTGCATAATATTTGATTTTAGGAAGTGAAGGAACGTGCCATCTACGCAGCAGGACTTTTTATTGCCACCTTCGCCAGTGATATGCCTTCAGTGGTTTTTTTTTTGTTTAATTGTGTAGAATCTTACTTTATTCTACTTTAATCCATGTTCATTTCTGTGTGCACTAAAATTTCTAAAATTAACTTTCCTTTGATCTCGGCATGACAAATCAACGTGCATTTTTCCATTAAACGCTAACACGAGGTTGATGAGAAAGTCTATTTAGCAAAAGTTTTGGTGCTCTCGCCTTCTTCAGAGCCGTTGAATTGCTTCTTGGTTATCGCATCGAGTCGAAACCAGTGGAACACCGCTCGAATGAATTAACCTGACTTAGCAGTACCGAAAAGATGGTGATAATGATACCAACTTCTGCACGATAGATTGTTCGGAGAAAAACAATTGGTTTTGGTCGGACACTCAGTGTCAACAATCGTCGTCTGTTGAAAAGTGGTGCCAAGTGAAGTTATATTCGGATGGTATGCAACAGGATTTAACTCAGTGCAGTCACGAAAATCCACATAAGAAGGACGATCAACTAGGATCAATCTGGATCTGAAGAGTACAAGGGCACCGAAACATTTCCCGAGCAATTTTTTTTTATCAAACTCGTCGTAGCTTACCAGCGAAAAAACTACGTTTACTAAAGTGTTTTGATTGTAATTACGGAAAAGAACATAAACCCAAAACTGTGTTCTTAAACTGCGCCTGAGCGCTAATTTAATAGTTTAATATTTAGGTGCCAGCAACACTAGAATTTCTTGTTGAACGTTTACGCAATGAAATGACGCGACTTTACGCTGTTCGTGCGTTAGTAACGATCGTCGAGAGTCGTGTTCCACTTGTAGACCTCTCTCCTATTGCATCTATACTTCTTCCTACTGTTACAGATTTTCTTAAGAAAAACTCACGTGCACTCAGGGTTGGTTGCATCAATTTCTATCCATTGGTTGTGATAGCTTTTATTGCTTTGTTCTCAATTCAACCTTCAGATCGCTACGCTGCACCTCGTCGAGGCTCTGCTTTTGCGAAGAGATTTAGTCGCTTTGGACTCGGAAGACTTGTCGCAGGTGCAAATATTGCTTGTGCTATACTGTATTTGTGTCTAGAATTTTGCGATCGAAGTCCATACGTTCTTGTTTTATGATATTCTAGGTTTTTACTGAGCTACCTGCACTAATCAAAGAGTCGGACTTACAGATATCTCAGCTATCTTTGAAATGTATAACAGGCACGATGTCATTTTCATTTTACAGTAACTGTAGTCTGCGGCATGTTTTTTTATTTTTATATTTTTATGTAATGAACTTACGTTTTTCTTTGCTAATGTATATTGTTTTTTTTAAGTTGGATTAGAAGTTTACCCGGCTCGAGTTGCACCACATCTAACCCCGATCTTGTCTGCTGTCATCGTTCTGTCGCAGTCTGCGTTGTTGCAGGTGAAGTTGCAACCAGTTGCTGTTGAATGAGAGTCTGCCTTCTCCCCTATGCCTTTTTTTTAGTCTGCGTAAATCTTGTCTTCGTTTTTGAACTAGTTCATATCTAACACTATATCAGGGTGCTACCCTCCAGGCTTCTCTTGACATGATTCGAATGCTTGTGTCAAATCCTATTCCTGGAAAACCAGATTTTGAAGTGAGTACGATTAGTTTAAGAATGACTGTATGGGAAATAAGGTTTGGTTTATACAGGAATTGCTAGATCAACTAACAGCACCAGTTTACGATGTTTCAAATTTGCCTCGGCAGGCTTTCCAGTCCATCTCTACGATAACTGGAGTTGTTGCAGCCTCTAGCGGTGATATTACAAAGGTCTGTACAAATCTCGATATTGGACACTTTTTTCTAGCTCAGTTTTATTGTTTGGCACTCGCTTTATATCTTCTAATATCTGTAGTAACGTTTTGTGTAGTAGGTATAACATGTTTAAAGAATTTAAAGAATCCGGTATGTTTACATTTCTAAAAAAATAACTTAAGGCTCGCTCATTGGCATACAAATTGGCTGATCAACTACAAAACGAAGACTCTACAGACGCCATTCTTTTGTTCAGCATACATGCTCTCGGTGAACTTGGGCGTCGTTGTCCAAAGGTCTATGAGGATTGTCAGCTGGAGTACGTGTTCAGCTTTTTCTAGCTACCATTGAAGTCTTTTTTATCTTCTAAAAGTATTTCAGACCAGAAAAACTGATTATTCCTTCGTTCAATTCAACCTCAGAGGATCTTAAGAGTGCAGCTGCTCAGTCTTTGGGTGCTCTAGCTGTCGGCAACCATGCACGATTTTTACCTTTTATTTTGAACGAGATTCAAACCCAATCAAAAAGGCAGTATTTGCTTCTACACGCATTAAAAGAGGTTCTATTTCTTACACTGTTGGTACTGATTTTAATTTTCATAATAAAATTTTCGTTAAGGTGATCGGACACGAATCTACAAACATAGTACCCATTGAGGTATTCCGATCTAGGATAAGTGAAATCTGGCCTGTTCTTATCGCCCATGCAGATGGTAACGAAGAAGGAACAAGGTTCTTTTCAATTCTTTAAATAGAAGGACGTCGAAGCTACTTTCTTAATCCAGAAATCTCGTCTATGCATTTTCTTTAACAAATACGCTATCGCACCTAAGATTTCGCCGCGTGTTGTGTACATTAGAATTTATTCATACGGTTCACCTTGGCCCTCCCTTCTGAAAGGATTGTCGTCGGTCTTTCTACTCCGTTTTTCGCTCAATAATTTATTCTTTTGTATTCAGTCCTGCGGTTTTTTATGTTCTACGTATCCTTCATTTGGATACGTGTAGAGCATATTACATTTTGTATGTGGTGAAAAAAGTTTTATCCCAGAGAAAACGTGTAAGCGCATTAGTTAGAGGTTCCCTGCGTTTCACACTGGATCGTTCATTGGTTCGATGCCTCGTCCTGGGTGCACCAAACCTTCCATCCTTCCATTGTCAAGAAACTGGTAACAGGCTTGTTTGCAGGATAAGAAAAGCAGTGATTTCAAACATGAGTAGGCCACCGCAAGTCATTGTACAGGCCAAATATGCATTCAGTAACTTGTATGTTGTTTTATGAAGTCGAATGAATGGCACACATCTCACGCATTGATCAACGCCCAATGCTTTATCCTTTATTTGTAAAAGTTCTAAAAGATGAAGCTCTTGGCATTGATCATTTTTTGATGAATGTAGTATGTATTTGGACTTATTAAGCACTGCTAGCGGTGATTGAATGCGTATCTGACCTACACAATGGCTCACGATGATCTACCGAAATATTGAGTATTGAGTCAGGCTGTTATCTTCTCAGACATGTCTGGTACTAATTTACCGAATCCGGAGGATTAGAAGATTTAGTGAGCCTGGGATGCAGAATCGTTCCCATGTGTATTGCAGGGCACATTTAACCACAGTGCTACGCCCACCTCTCGTTTACTTGTATGATATGAAAAATATATGGTAATGGTTTTGAATGTTTCTTATATTCGCCGACTTCATGCGATGACTATGAGTTATTGTCATCAATTGTATAAGTAAAATAATGACGATGAGGTAGTACGTGGTGATAGTGCTGAAGCTATGTGGTGAATCATGTCCGGTGGATCTTTCAAAAAGTTAGTTTGGCATCAAACAATTGCTCCGACTTGGATTCACACAGCTACCACGTTTTCATGGATTATTTGCGGTTAATGATTGGGACTTCTTGTAAAACATAACGACACATTTAGAGAAAGAAAGGATGAATCATGGGGATTGTAAAGGAGAATTGGTCTCTACCTTTAGATGTTAATTGTTAAACCATCGCAAATCGGTGTTTATTGGAGCACATATTATACTTCTGGATCTAATTCTTTTAGACGGAATGTACTGACGAAGTATAGATTTGAAGGGCTGTGGGTTAACACTTTGACCGCCAACGCTATGTAAATAGAGGTTGCAGAAATTTAGTGGTTGCAGTTGTATCTAAATTAGGCTTAAGGGCTGCATGCTGAAGAGGTTCAAGGTTATGATAGTAGGTGATATGGAAAGTGTTTACTGTGAGGAATTGCGATTATGACACAAATGTTTTTAAGCAACGTTTTTTTATGCAGCGTTTGCTAAATCATTGAGAGATGAGAATATGAGTCGAGAAAATGTAGTGTTTTAAAACATCCACGTGTTCACATTGTTGAATAAGCATTGTATTCACCCTTTGTTCTACATAGTACATATACGTCTGCGCAAGTTTCTTCAGCAATTCACCATTTGATTGTAACACTAAATACCCACGACCGACTTTCTATTAACCTCGGCATTAATCGAATAAATCACTGTTCTATTGGTGAGCAAATAAAAGGTTATCACATTCATTATCTATGAGCAAGCTGACAAGCTGACGTTTCGGTGGATTTATTTCTCAGAACCTGGAAAGGTAAAGCTGACTGGCAGTCTACCCGGCCAAACATCTCCAGAACCAAACAGAGAAAGTTTTAAACCAAGATTTCAGTCGCAATGAAAACAAAACTTCGTCGCGCACTCACCGATTTCTGTAAGTTTACCAAGGACTATGTCACCTGGAGACCAATTGCACAGAGTTCACACGGAAGTATAATGCGCCTCCTACATTAAAATATCAATGTTAAATACTGTGTGAGATCACGCGTTATTACGAGGCATTCCTTTCTGCGGTTCACTTTCGGATCCTTTGAATCTGTCCAGAATGTTTCGAGGGTTTTGCGCTCTGGTGTTTTTGATTCCTGTGCGAGGATGTTAACTTCTACTTCAAAATCTTTCCCATTATGTCTCTGGTGTCGTGCTCGCCTAGTGGAGTATTTAGTTTAAGTTTATCGATTGGGTGTTCCTTGATACGGACACAGAGTGGTCTACCCACTTGTTGCGAACAAGCTGCGCCTTAGGGTGCTTGGTGGTATTTCAACTACTGGTATCGATTTTTCTAAACCGGCTCTTCTTAACAACATTTTATAGCTGCGCTAATTTCGTTTCAAATGAAGTACAAGATAAAAAGAGACATTATTGCTAGAGTTGTCGTTTAGCGGCTTGGATTTTTCTCTACGCCTATACCGAGAAGCTATAGTTTCGTAGCCGTTGAAAGTGGCTATATGCCTTCCCAATTTCTGCCATTCCTCCTTCCTTTTTCCTATACACACGCTGGTATTTGTTCGAAACATGTTTCTTGAAAGCGCCCTTTTTGTTTATGAGGGGTGAAACGAGAGGTAATGAACCGATACGCTGTTACTACTTTTGCTTTCGGGACCACTTCGTGATGTAGCCGTTTTCGATTATGTTAATTTGAACCTTTATTAGGTCTAATTCTAAAGTGGCTTTGCAAAGAAAATTCGAAGACTTTTTAGGTAAATCACACAACACAGCTTCAAGAAGATCTAGAAACGTCGTTGGCGACGCTTAAATGAGTTACAACGGGATAAACAATATGCAAAAAAAAATTAAGATTTATGAGTCATAGCTCCCTCCGAAGAGGCGCGCTCACTATGAGAATTGGGTCCAAGTTTCTCACCAGCTAAACCCATTATGGGTTCTTCGGGACTTCTGCTTATTCTTTAGATGATTTAGGAAGTGTTTCCCACAAATGAGAGCGTTGGCAATGGCACGCTACTGATACCAAGTCTTGCCGTTACATTTATGTCTAAAGTGAAAGCATAAATAACCAGTCTCCGGCCATTACTCTAGTGTATATTTAGGTGATTGCTTTGACATTTTCTCAACACAGGAGAAAATGGACAACTGTTTTGAACTACTGAATGAACAGTCAGAATACATTAAGTTTATCCGAAATAAATCCATTTCTGATCGTTCAAATTCACCTATCCGAAAACGGATGCAATACGAATTAGTATGGCCATGTAGTAAAAATATGTTGTTTCATTATCTCTCCTCTCACCATCACACACAAAAAGAGCGCTTGTAAGAATCAGGTTTCGAACACGCTGGTATATGCACAGGAAGGAAGCATAAGGAGGAATCCCGGAAATTGGCGCGGAAAATAGCCATTTCACAATGGCTATGAAACTTTATCTGCTCAGGAAAAGTGTAAACGTAAATGCAGGCCCCAAAATAACAACGCTAGCGACAATAAGGTCCAGTTTGTCGCGCCCTTCATTCGAGTAAAATAACAGTAGCAATAAAACGCTGCTTGAGAAGAGATATGTTTATCTTTCTAACAAAATCGTGAACACTAGTTGAAGTACTACCGAACACTCTAAGGCGACGGCTAGTTCGACTCCGCCTGTATGATAGTTTATGTGCGATGTAAAATTGAATAATATACACTAATGAGAGACGGTGAATCCATGAGTTAAGGTACAGTTTCTCTAATCTCTTATAAAGTGCGCAGGAATGAGTACATTGGCGAGGCGGTAGAACACTTTGCGTCCGCATAAAGGAACATGAAGTGGGTAAAGTTGAGGACAAACCAAGTACTTCACTAGACGCGCGTAGGACACAGAGATATAACGGAGAAGGTTTCGAAGTGGAAATGAAAATCGTGACACAAGAACCGAAGGCAACAGCACGGAAAACTCTCGAAGCATTTTGAATGAATTCCGAAGATCCCATAATGAACAAGTGGGAGGTATGCCTAGTAATCACCCATGGTTTCACACAGTGTTTAACACTGAAATTTTAATGTAAGAGGCGCACCACGCTATCATGTGAAGTCCGTCCGTGATCTTCACGTGGCATACAAGACTTATAGAAAGCGGTGTGTGCGAAGAAGTTTTACTTCCAGTGCGATTGAAATCTTGGTGGTTTAGCAGTTTCTGTGTTTTGCTTATAGAGGTGTTGGGCGGGGTATATTGCAGTCAACTTGACTTTTCATGCTCTGCAGAAGGTGAAATCCGCTGAAACATCATTTCCTTCACAAATAAAGAATAAAGTAACAACCTCTTGTTTGCTCATCAAGAGAACAGTGATTTATTGTAACAATAAAGTTCCAAACTTCATTGTACCTGTGTAACAACGATCTTAGGCTGAGAAAAAAGCAAAACAAGGACCTTAGTGGTCTCTTGGTAACATGTGAGCCACCGGAAAGAGTAATCACGATTCGATCTGGGCTAGGGGCTAAGTTTTGCCAATATCTTACCATCATAGTGGTTATATTTCACGTTATACCCTGCCGTGTAAAATATCAATAGGCCGTAAATAAAAGGGTAGCATGAGGGTGTTGATAGTTGCTACGCGAGTTCAACGGATAAACTCATGCGGGGGAAGTTGTGGGAGTACAGCTTTCCATGGGCATTGTATGGTACTTGCACTGTATCAGCTATCGATTGTATGCAAAGAATATAATAACACCCGGCGGTAAATTAAAACGTCTATAAAAGCGCATTGAAATCAACATATGTCATTCGTTCTGCTCTGTTCATGCATTGAATTCCACTAACACGGTCGTTTAAGCGTGAATTTTGCAGAAATGTGGTTGCAGAATGTCTCGGAAAATTGTGCGTCATCGATCCTCATGGTTTGCTACCAGAACTCCAGGTAATTTATTTGGATTAACAAGCGCTGTTTATTCAGAAGCTTTGCACTTTATTTCTCACATTCTCATATTTCTCATATTTTCATTGTTAAATTGTTACAAATAGTCTACAGTTTAGAATTTGGTGAAATCTCCATCAGCTCGAGTGCGTTCTGCTGCAGTCACTGCTGTAAAATTTATGATTTCGGACGAAAAAAGACCCGTTGACGTCGTACTTCAACAATGCATTGGTGAAATATTTGCTGTAATAGATAGGAAATTTAAAAATTGTTGGAAACTTCAACGTAAATTCAAAGCAGTAGTTTGACCTGTTCTGTTCTAGGAGAGTTCCTTCAAACTATGACAGATTCTGATCTCAACGTTCGCCGTGTTGCTTTAGTTGTTCTTAATTCTGCTGCTCACAATAAGCCATCATTGGTAATCATGTTTTACTCGCACGTTCTGTGGTCAACGCATTTCGTTTACAAGTTCGTTCGTTTCGACCTTCAATTTATCTAGATCCGCAATCTTTTGGATGTTTTGTTGCCATCAGTCTACGCAGAAACGCAAGTACGGAAGGAATTGATTCGCGAGGTAGAGATGGGACCATTTAAGCACCAAGTCGATGACGGGTTGGATCTCCGCAAATCCGCATTTGAATGGTCTCATCTGTTTCTTTTTTCTAAATTTTTTATCGTGTTATTATGTCGATGTTGACTTCACAAGAGATTGTTGGCACAACATTTATTTTGACGTGGCAAACGTTTCGACAGGTTTCGCCTTTTTAAGAGTTTGCAGGTCTTACTAATATTGTGCAGTCTACTTCAATAACTCTATGTTCAAGTCGGGTAGTAAACGGCTTCTTTAAAACGTTTACCTTATTTTGTATCATCTCTTTAGTTTACAAAAGAGACCACTGGCAGAGTTTACATGAGATGAGGAATGTGCTCATCTTTTGTTAAGAAATTAGTTTGGGTTGTGGAGTAGGTTACATGTGATTACAAGATATTCCTCTCCGTCTTTCTGCAGCTAACCCGAAATGCCTTAAGGATTTTGGAGCTCATATTGTAGTATACTGTGTGAAGATCTAGAATTTCACTTAGAAATTTCCGCTGTTCTTCTGACCTATGTGTTTGGTGGAGTACATTGTTCAACCTTAAGTTTTGTTATGTGTTCGTGTGTAGCCGCAGGGTCACTTACTCGTTTCGCTAATGTATTCGTCACCCTATGTATTACAAGAGATTAGTTATTCACACCCGAGCTTATACAATCCCCATCCCTCGAATTCTGGCAGGTTATGCAGTTTCGTGTAGCGCGTAGATACTCCTACATGCAGTTACGAACCAAGTGGCAGCATGGAGTGTTCAATGGCAAAAGTGTCTGTGATTTTTTTAGATCTGTTCTTTACAGGTGTTGCCTAACAATAGTGCTTATCTCGTTAGAAATGCTGGTCGGTTAAACGGGATAATATTCCCACTGGAGTCATCTTTTCGGAACACGACTGTTCTTCTGAACCTGAGCAGAGCTGTCATCATAGGCACTGGAGGCTACCCTTTTCCGTATCAAGTAAAACGATTCCTTCCTCTCCTATGCTCACACAAGTCGTTGAAAACATAGTGGAGCCCATTTGGAGTCGAATCCACGTTAATGGGCAGGAACTTAGTTTATGAATGTACAAAATTCACGAGGAATTTTGTACTAACCTTGAAAACGCAAGAAATAACCATCGGAGGAGTGTCTCTAACTACGCGTGATAATCCCCATAGTTTAATATAACTTTTCGACGTGAAACAAGCACATTCCTTACCTTCTGTGATTTCTGTGCAAGTGATCTCTTTTACTGATCAAGTTGACTACGCATAGAAAACAGTAGCTGTTTCGAAGGAGCCGTTTAACATGCTCCAGATTCGCCATAATTTTAGAAGTCATGAAATAAATGTGTTAACAACTTGGCTTAACATCGTCGCTTTTGAATTGTATGGTGTTAAGCTAACATAAGGTTGATAGATGATTAGTCATGCCGACGTTAAAGGAAACTCGGTTTTTGAAATATTGTATCGTCTTCTTTTACAATGAATTTTCTAGCATGTACACCTTATTGGAGAGTTGTTTGGAGAAATTGGAGATTTTCGAGTTTATCAACTACGTTGAGAACGGGTTAAAGGTGTGTTTGTCTTATCCTTACAATAAATAGCGTCAAATGGTGAAAATTTAGGATATGCATCACGACATTCGCCTTCTTAGCTATTTAATGCTAATGAAATTGGCACTCCTATGCCCGAATCAGCTTGTACAACGCTTAGATAAGATCTGCGAGTCCTTGAAAGTACGTGGTTTCGCTAACACTTAAGAAATGCAATACCGACATGTAGCTTCTTTTCTTTTATAGGCGCAATTGCAAATCAAGCCAAGAAACAATGCAGTCAAACAGGAGATCGACAAGCAGGACGAATTGAAGCGGGCTGTTATCAGAGTAGTTTTGACGTTGCAGGTGTGACGAATTTCCAGTGTGTTGATAATTTTTTCCAGATTTTGTAAACTGTTTACGACTACCCCAACGGTTTACCGCCTCATCGTGGCTGAGAGGTGTTTCTGGATGTTGGACTGCGTTGCACACCAGAGGGATTCATCCCCACGGCAGGGTTTCCCAACCTGAGAAGGAGTCCGGATCAGTAAGCCTAGCTAAGCGTAAACCATACCAGGATTCATCATCGTCTCTATACCAAACTAGTTGCATGATGGAAAATCTCCCTCTGATCCACAATGATTGCAACCGCCTATGGTGGTGAAGACCTGGGGCAGACTTTGGCCTGGCTGACTCCGGGACTCTAGGGAACTCTAATGGCTAAACCAGCAAAACTCTGAAAAAGTGGAATTTACGCTCTGGCCCTCACAGGCAGTGAAGACGGGCCATCCTAGTAAGTAGGTTTATGACTATATATGGACGCAAATTTAGTATAAGCAAACTCCCACGATCTGCATTTCGAAATAGTTTTGCACACATTTATTTAGTTTTAAAACTTGGAACTGAAGTAGTCGTTTGGTTAATTTCATATTGACGGTATGGTACAACATTTTTTTGCATATACGATCCGAATTCTATTCATTTTAGGAAGTAGAACTAACTTTTTTCTCCAAAGAGGATTTGTCTTGTTTCAGAAAGCAGCCAATAATTAGAGTTTTCTTACTAGAAGCAACATTTCCGCTTGTCTGGGTGTCGTGGGTTGACATTATCATTAAGTTGTGCAAGTGAAAGGTACAAATGGCGGTCCGATCTTTAAGTCAGATGTCGTCTTCGGATACTGAGATAATAGGTTTCTAATAAAATTATATATGAGATTCTTATATAAAGCTTTAGGTAATAAAAGCTTTATTCGCTTTAAAACAAAAATAAAAGTCATTGAAACTATCGCATAGCATGGTTTTTTGAGAACTGATGACAATTTTAACTTATTATTTACTGCCTACTCTTTTTAACGGCAGGGTATATATTGCGAAATACAACTTTAATGGTGCTGAGATATTTGCAAAACTCCGGACCGCAGATGTCTGTGGTGGGGAACGAACGCGCTATTGTCCTATCCGGGGAGTAGCGCGTTCGCCACCACACCATACAGGTCCTTCGTTTCGCTTGTCTCTCAGCTAGTTCTATTGATCTTTTGCCAACAGCAATCACCCGTCAGTGGAATTGATCTGGGAGGCCTAAATCGGTAACGAACCCAGTTAAGCTAAGTCTGCATGCGAAACGAAGGACCCGCATGGTGCAATGGTGAACGCGTTGCTCCCCGAAAAGGACTATAGCGCGTTCGTTCCCACCGCAGACACCTGCGGTCCGGTGTTTTGCAAATATCTCGGCATCATTAAAACTGATGACAATTCCTGAATTAGTAGAGTATTTAAAGAGGTCTTAAAAGACTTGCAAAAGCGGTTTTGCTCTGTTGCTTTGGTCGTATAAACATCGTTTGTAAAACATTTTTCCATTCCAAAATATGTTTTCAATTTAATTTTCCAAAGGACTGAAAGCGAAGTTTAAAACTTTGAAATTTCCAATCCAAGCGTAGTAGCTGCAAAGGCTATTACTACATTGGGAAACACCGTTTTGTATTGTTGGATGAAATCCCGGTTGTTGAATTACTTTGAAGTATAAGCTTTGACAGAAAAGAAAATAAAAAAATGCATTTTTGCGTTCTAGAACATCAACATTTCGCTTCAGTAGAAAAAGAAGACGGGTCTTGTAGCTAAGGATATGTGGATTCTAACTGTTTTTATTCCAATTAACGACATTCACTATGAACTGAGATGTTACCGAACTACACCTGGAAACGGCAATCATTTTGGCATCATGTTACCCATATCTTATGAGGTGTTAGACTTTACCCGACAACGTGACCCCTGTAGGAGTCATACAATGCGAAAATAATAGCCGACATTCTACTTTGCATAAATATATCTTAGCTTATGATGAGTTTTAATAATTTTAGTAAGATCTGTTGGAATCTGCAAATCCTTGCCTACATCACGAAGGTCCCCTATTCTACCGTAATAATTCTGATTTTCTAGTGCTGTCGATATGTACGTTTTTTCCATCTTTTTGCGTCAACTCTCGAATTAATTTCCAACAGAAGAGCAAGTGAAACAAAAAAATTCCGTCCATGATAACATAATTTTGTTTCCCAATGTAACATTCATGTTTTCAGTTTCCCTTCTTGTGAAGCAACTTTGAAAATCGTTGTTCTAAACATATTTAAAATTGAGAAGACGTACAGAAATTATGTTTGGTAGTGCGATAGAGTTAAGTCTCTCCGACGTGTACCCGTGACACACTTTGTTGATCGAGAAATTATCCGTGATCCTTCGAAGCCCCGCTTCGGGGCGAAAAAGTTAAGCAAGCATATCTCAGATCACAGTAGTCTGTTTTTTGAAATGAAAATCGGTAGAGTCGACAGATGTTTGGTAACAGCTTTCAAGCGTTTTTATTCTAACGCGATAAAGTTGTAATACTGTGGATCCCACAAGACATTTCTATTTTTCGGCTTTTTTCCCATTTGTCAAGCCTCATATTTCGAGTAGGGGAACTATTGAAGAGATGAGATTTCATTCAGCATAGTGCGACCTTGCGCACCAGCACTTGTGTCAGAATTTTTGAAATCTCAAGTTTCGTTCTTGACGCTTTGAAAACCTTGCTTTTAAACAAAATGTGGGAGGCTTATCTAAAAAATACTATGTTCTTATAGAACGACAGAGGACAGTTTCCTTTATGAGTCAGATTTTTTCTTTATGTTATCAGGTATACTACTCATCGGGAAAGCAGCGTTGTGTATTGATTGAAAATTGAACCCAGTTCAGTGAGAACTGTCTACTCTTTTTTTCTTCATGACGCGTATATTTGTTCACTTACAAATCATCCATCACCATCTGATAGAGCAATCTGTGTCGTTCCAGAAAATCCCAGATGCGGAGCGACATCAGCAGTTATCTGATGTAGCAGCATTGATGCGTTCATCTCCTGAACTCCGTGCATTGACTGAAGCTGTACAAAGGGACGCGACTAGAACATTCGCAACAGGAGATGTACCAATGGAAACCATATAATTTTTCGTCTTATATAGTTTTTTTTGTTTTCGTTTTATGTTGTTTTGCACAATATTTTTTGCTCTTTTATTTTCTAGAAAAATATCGAATTTATTTGGACTGACAACATGGGTGGTAGATTTTCCATTTTTTTGCTATTAGAATATCGCATCTCAATTGAACCTATTCGTTTACGATCCCGCCTAATTGTTTTTGGTGTTCCCATCAGGCATCAGAGATACCGAGATTATTCGAGTCCTTTCGATAATCGCACTTTCCTCTCTTAAGTCGAATGAAGTCGCCTGCTTTTTATACTGTCGTAGAGTTCCTCTTCATTTTATACTCACATTTTTAGTTTTTCTAAAAGAGTTTTCCTTCTTCATTTGCATTGTCTGCCTCTGATTATCTTTAATTCATTTTATAGAGATGTGTTCTGAAGCATTACTTTGTATACTCGCATTTTCAGTTTGTGGCATAGTAGGCTTAAAATACAGGACGCGGTGGAAGCTCCATACAGATGAATCAGACTAGTTTCTTAAACGAAATACGGCACACTGACAATACAGTTGACATTATAAGTATAAGGATGATGTGACATATTTTAAGAAATCGTTTATATTTATGCGATCCAAACGTGGGTAAATAGCGTCGTGAGGTCGTGACGGGCTTTGAACTCTCGAAGTGGAGTCCACGTAGAGATTCATCATTGTCGTGCAAGGTAACATAAGACCTTCTTGCTAAGGTGTTCGAAGTAGTTCCATGGAGGATGTTGGGGTCCATGTACGAGAGCCAGCTTATTCAGCCACTATTGAATGCATTTTTTGCTGAGAGAGCTACATTTCTCCATTATACCCTCGGAGATGACGTCATCCTTCGAATTTTTGATTAACAAAAACGTCCAGATATTTGCTGTTGAATAGTGGCCACGGTAAATTTATGTTTAGTCATAGTTAACAGATGTAGCTTCTAGTCCATTTAGTTACTCAAAAAATGAGATCTTTAGTATTTGTGGTGGTGCTTGTCTAACACTAACTTCTAACACTAGGAGCTAATCGTCATTCCATAATGGGCAGGGGGTACATTGCCAGTCGGTACTATACATATCAGACCATAATGATTCTCAAATACTTGCAAAACTTAGGATCGCTGGTGTCGGCTGTGGTGATCGAACACACTGTTACCTTTTCCGGGGCTAATGCGTTCACCACTGCAAGATGCGAGACCTTTCTGTAAGCCATATTATTGACGTATAGGCGTTATCGGCAACCATCCCTCAACGGCGCTGATTTAGCGAGCAGAAATGTGTATTGACACCAGTTAAGCTGAAGCTGAAGGTATTCCACACAATACCCCGCCATTAAAAAAATTAGTAGGCAGTAAAGAAAAATTGACTACATTCTACCAAACCTCCTACGATGATAAAAACACTGGCTGCATCGATGGGATCCAGCAAGTGACTAGGTGCACAGAACATACACTCAAGCATCTCTACGATGCTTAGAGGTATCATTGAATGAGAGGTGCATGTAGTGCAATGATTAGAGGCCCCTTGCAACACACATGGCTTCAAATTTTTCACCCTAGGGTCACTAAGCCCTTCATCTCATGGGAGTCGACTGATTTGTATCAGACCTATCTGGGAGGATAGCAGCACTGACTTATTACATCGATGGGCCACCACGAGTCATTGTAAAGGCCAGATATGCATTAATCCACCTCCAAACGATGCTTAATGAAATCGAATGCATGGCGCATCCGTCAGGGACTGATCAACGTCGAGAGCTTTCATCTTCTATCATTTAGTGATTACTCAACGCTGGAGACTTAATCCTTTATGATCACCTAGAAGAAGAGATGCAGATGATGTATTTCATAACTTTCGTGCAGAGATGAACAATGCTAAAATAAAGCGAGCTGAAAAGGACTCCTTCAGAAGGAGATACAACTGTACATGAAGAAAGAGTAGGAGACAAGATTGCAGTGATGTCGTTTTGTGAATGAGATGTTCTGATATTAGTCATGCTGAGGAAGGAGACTAGTATTTTCATCACTGGCTGCAATGATGTGGAATTGATAGCGTAGTAGTTTTATTCGGATGTTAATTTTACAAGTAATGCAAAACGGCCTACGGCTTCCCGCTGAATAAAACATCGCAGATTCGTCTATTCGAGTTTGGGCGTGCAAATAGGTGCGTGGTAAGTGCCGTAGTTCCAGGGCCAGATTTCTGGCAAAAGATTCCAGAACGGGAAATTCCACGTGCGCTATCACAAGAGTGATCACAGTATCCTCATCACTACCTTCGTAATTGCTTGTTCTGTGTCCCATTCAAGGTCTCTTAGGCAGTCATTCTATGAGAGCTATCAGGAACCTTGATAAAGATCCAAGTAACTGATTATTCGAAACTCTCGCAAGGATTTTGTTGTTGTGAATATCTTCTCTGAGTACATTACAGTTCTTTGTCTATTATGAAAAAGTGTAGCAGCGTTGGACGAATCGCTGTCATGTCCGCTTTACTTACCTGATACAAAGTAAAAGGCGATGTAAAAATCCGGAAATGGCAGCGTTCGGAACTGCATCGCGACAGCATTGCGCTTCCACTACCAGTAACCACTATAAAAGAAAGACATATAATCTCACCGATGGTACTTATTATTACACTATAGTGAAGTCAGTTTATTGGGTTGAAAATGTATGCATAGTGGTGGAAAAGTCTAGTCAAGGCTACATTTTGCTGACTTTTCGAGGACAAGCAGTGACTATGAGACGATACCGAGACAAAGTATAACTTTTCACTTACTGCCATAATTTTTTTCATGGAAGGATATTATGTGGAATACAACCACAGTGATGCTGAGATATTTGCAAAACTTGGACCCCAGGCTAGCTTCCAACTGGCAATTACCCTTTCCGGGGCTTACATGTGTTAATTGGGTTCACTATCAATTTATGCACTCCAGATCATTCTCGTCGACGGATGATTGATGATAGCGACGTTGGAGTAAGATATGGCTGAGAGAAATGCAAAGCGAGGGCGTCAATTGTGCAGTGGGCTACACGTGAGTCACCGGCAATAGTAATCCCAGGCTCGAATCTGAACTGGGGTTTCAGTTCTGCAGGCAGATGAACAAGAATTGAGTTAGATGTTTCTTTAGCTACATCGACTAGTCTGATATGTACCAGTAGCGTTTGATGGACATCGTGAGCGACTTGAAGAAAGATCAGGACCGAGCAGCAGATGGACTGCAGTGTTCTCCATTTTTTGCATCTCTTGTAAGCTACTGTATAAATTTTCGGCTTGATATAAAAATTGTTGTACCAAGAGCCTTTAAGTCATATTTTGTGATAATGCAACTATGACCCCCAATAAGGAGCTTGATTTCGTAGCTCAAATATTTGGCATGCTTACGCCCGCAGCCCTAGGAGGCTTAGTCTTTGAATATCAAAAGTGATCAATAAAAGTCAAGAAGCTCTAACCCTTAACTCTGTTTTGTTAGAGTTTGGTATACGTTCGTACCTATGGAAGAAATAGGTGAGATCTCCACTTATTCCATTGTTTTTAAGATCAACGAATAAGTAAGACCTACTGTTGGAATTTAAGGGAGTTGCATTTTAATGGTCCTATAGACAGCATCCTCCGAAAAGATAGCGGACGTTGCCTGTCAGTTTTTAATAAAATTTGCACAGACTTTCTGTACAAGCTGCTAAATCGCTATTTGATGAATTTTGTGTAAAATAAGCTCCCAGTATGCCTTATGTAAATTCTCGTGGCTACCGTATCATGGTTAGAATTAGCTTTATCGGTTTGTACTATGAGAGAAACTTCCTAAACTCCCGCCTTGAGCACGAACCCCAGTTTCCTCCACCAGCACTCAGTTTATCACAGAAGCTATACATGCACCAGCATCATTACTTAACCCTCAATTCGCTCAAGTAGAGATCACCGACAGTCTCCATCTTCATGCCTTCTTATTTCACTTAGTAGCATTCGAGTATCGAGCTCTCCATTAATATGAGCAACCTTAACCTCAGTTGCACATTATGTCTTTTCCGCTTCAACCGGCGACCTCTTACTTAATCCTAATTGCTACAGTTGATTTTCATATTAACTCTCTAGTCTACCAAAAATGCTACACTTGGTACCAACCATTTGGTTTCATCTTCCCTGCATCGTCGCTTAATCCTCAGTTTTTCATGGTTGAGTTGAGTTCTACATGTATCTTCTTTCTCATATTACATCACTGGTCTACTATGCTAGTTTCGTACTTCAAAAGATCATTTTACGTATTGTCCTAGCCTTCCTTGTTGACCCCGTTATCAAGTTAGCGGCTTGTATTGTTTCGTTATTATATTAAATATTACAGTTTTAGTGCTTTTGTTATGAACAGTCTGATAGCCCAAGGTTGAGATTTGCTCTGTGGCACCAGCAAAAAGACCTTTGCGGCAAACTTATACGAAGTTGAGCATTCTGCCTCAAACTGGTGACTATTCGCTACTGACAGTTGACTCGAACTACCGCATTCCTCGGAGCTAATCACTGAAATTCCGGTGCATTATCCTAATCACTAGAGGTACATCCATCGTCATTTTGATACTTTAACGGACAGTTTTCTTTTAAAGGGATGTCATTTTAAAGTTTCTAATCAAGAACGATTTTCTCATATTTTCCGAACAGCGCGGAGGAGTTGGTCAGGTGGAAGGGTATGTCTGTTTTCACCTTTTCAAAAGCTGTTAGATGCCACCATTGCATGACCACTTAGTAACTTCTTCTTATTATCACCATAATTTACAATTTATGAAAACAAATCATGGAACGGAGAGCACAGTGGTAGTGATGCCCGTCATCACGAGCATGGTGCTAGTTCGATTCCTCGCCGGGCCAACCAAGCCTCTCATCTCTCCGGGGTCGGGGAATTGGTACCAGACTTGTCTGGAAAAGAAATGACTTCCTGCAATCTAATGGAAACGCTCCAGTTCGGCTATCTCAAGACTCCTGGGATAATAGACCGACCAGCATTCTATGA